TATTTTAATATTATCTTCACAATATTATTTAAGTAAAGGAAATATGTTAAAAGTGGAATAAAATGTCTTTTCAGCTATAAAAGATGGTGCTAATATAAAAGGGTATACTTCCTGGTCTCTGTTGGATAAGTTTGAATGGGAAAAAGGATACACAGATAGATATGGATTCTACTATGTTGAGTTTAATGTCAGAAATAAGCCTCGCTATCCTAAGGCTTCAGTTCAATATTACAAGAAGATTATCACTGCCAATGGGTTTCCCAATCCAAGAGAGGTAAGACTAACTATTTCTTCTGGATTTAGACAAGCTAAGCACTGGGGTGCAGTTTGGCAAGGACTTCCCCTCTTTTTTCCAAAGAGGACAGATGTATACAGCATGGCTCTGTCTTTCCTCCCCCTCACCACCTCTTTGCTCCTTTGCTTAGAATAGAGGAAGCACGCCTCAAAATTTAACTCACAACAAAGCATTAAGGACATGACTAGAGGTATGCATGAGTTCCATTTGCTCTAGGTTATAACAGGTAAAGTCAATGGAGACTTCTGGTTAAATGTTGTCTTAATGCTAATAAATACTATGTAATCTTCAAAATATGTAAAATCAGTGAAGTAAATCAAATATAGAATGACGTTATTTTCATTTCTTTTCCCATCAAATATGAAAGCCTTATAAACATACTGGCTCCAAAAATGAGAAAAAAAAGTAATCAAACTTTATAATCTTTTAAAACCTACCAAACATATCAATAATCTACAAATTTAATAATCTACAATAATCTACAATTTTAGCTCTCTATTACATGTTAATGCACCTATTGGCAAGGAATATAAATGATAATTAAAAATTCTTTGAAGGTGAGCCTAGAGGGACTAAAAATGAAAGTGGTGACTAACAGTTATAAGGCATTTGCTACTTTTATATTATTAGAAAAATACTCTGGTTGTGGTGGTGCACGCCTGTAATCCTAGCTACTTGGGAGACTGAGACAGGAGGATTTTGAGTTTCAAGGCCAGCCCTGGTAACTTAGTGAGATCCTGCCTGGAACTAAAAATTAAAAAGAACTGATGTAGCTCAGTGGCAGAGTGTCTCTGGGTTCAATCCCCAGTACCAAATTAAAAAAAAAAAAAAAAAGGAAAGGAAGAGAGGAGGAAGGAAAGAGGGAGGGAAGGGAGGGAGGGAGGGGAGGGAGGGCAGGAGGGGCAAGAGGGGCAGGAGGGGAAGGAAGGGGAGGAAGGGAAAAAAAGCACAAGATTGCACACTCCTTAAAAATAATCTATTCTTTGATTCCCTCTCTATGATGCATATAGATGTACAATAAATATTAACTAATTTAAACTACAAGTGGATTTTTAAAATATTTATTTATACCCTACATTTACTCCAAAAATAATTTCATACAGCAAAAAGTTAGTCTAAGACATTACTTACCAAGTGGGTTTTTATCAGGTGGAAAGTTGGCACTTCGAAGCCTTGGAAACTTGCTCTATAAACAACCAGTTACTTGCTGCAGGTGAGTATATTTTAATTCTTTTCTTTGATAATTAAATTACATAATTACACATATAATGACATTACCAAAAATCTCAAACTGTAGATCTACCTGAAGTCAATCTTCCCAAACCACTTATGATTTGATTGAATTTTTTCCTTACTTTGAAGCAATGTCAAATTTCTATCTCAGAAGCATTATAAATATTAAAAAAAAATTACCATTAAAGAGTAATGTTTCAACTACTGAAATTTTATTCTTTCTGAACCACATTGTAAATTCATATACCTACCATTTTTGTTAAAGTGGGCTTATAGAAGGAAGGGAAAAGTTAACCATTATACCTACGGGAATGAAGAAAAGGTCAAAAATACTTTAGCTCTTGTACTCATTCATTCAGCAAATAATTATTAATCATTCACTATTAACTATGAGTTATTTTAAGGCTGGGGATATAGCAATGAATAAAACTGGTCCCTACCCTCACAGAAGGCATCATTTCTTATGAAATGGGATCTAAAAGGATCCAAGCTATAGAATAACCAAGATGCAAATGTGTATCAAGAAATGGCAACACATTTCACCTCTTTGAATTTTTTTTCTCTCCATAGGGACACTCAGAGAAATATACTTTCTGTTTTACTAGACTCATTTTTCCTCCCCATACTGAGGATTGAACCTAGCAATGCTTTACCACTGAGCTACATTCCCCAGCCCTTTTTATTTTAAGACAGGGTCTTACTAAGTTGCCCAGGTTGGCCTTGAACTTGTGATACCCCTGCCTCAGTCTCCCACATTGCTGGATTACAGGCATGTGCCTCTGTGCCCAGCAATAAACTTATCTTTAATGTGGTATTCAAAGTAGAAAGTACTAAAGCAAACTCTTCTAAGCCAACATTTTTAAGAGCCAGTATATCACTATGTACCAACCTTCCCATATCTAAATAACAGAGACAATACTAAGGATGTATATTCCATTAAACTGAAATAAACAATGTATTTGTAACACAGAATTTGCTTAAAAGCTTATGAACTCTATAAGAACAGAGTCTGTGCTTTATTTATCTCAGTAATCAGAATGCCCAACAGAAAAATTAAAAAAGGGTATTACAGAAATATCCACTACTATATCAATGTACAAGAAACAGGCTCATCATTTAATTCTTAAAGATCAAACTATGCAAGAATCACCATATGATATTTTAACATGGGAATTCCCATAAGATACATAATAACATGCTTGAAAGTTTGGAAATGTTTCCCTCGATTTTTCTTTCATAAGTCTCTCCAATGAAAAATTATGGGAACTATAAAACATGGCTGTTAATAATCTTGAGAGAGATACATGGTAAGCATTAAGTAACCATACACTTAGCCTTTATTATACTACCTGTAGAAAAATCCAAATTTAGGCATTCCCATATTCTTTGAAATATTTTATAAACTCTCACATAACTTGTGTGTGTGCGTGTGGTGCTGGGGATTAAACCCAGGGCTTATGCATGCTACCTCAAGTACACTACCACTGAGCCACATCCCCAAACTCCTAATTTTTAAATACCATTTAGTTTACTAGGTTCCCTTTTCTACAAAATGAGAATTAGAAAACTTGATGTCATTTCTCAAGTTTTTCCAATATACTTAAAGCTTCTGGGACGCAGCTCACCTGGTGGTTGTTCTCTGTCCCATTTCAGAGCCTTTGCTCAGTCACATGCACATGGTCTCGGAGATTGTGGTCCCCACAGTCTGCACTCTCTGCACACTCATTGCTGCCCTGCTGTTAATGCTGCTCCTCAGGAGCCAGAGTTGAGACAAGATCACCAATTTTGGAGCTTCGTCTTTCATAGAGAAATCTTCAGGATGGTCCTCCTATTTCTGCTTTGAAAGTTTGTTCATGTCTGTTTTCTGGATTTGTTATAATTACCTTTCCCCCCAACTCTTTTTGGTGTATGCTGGAATTTAAGAATTAGAAAATAAAAATAAGCATAAAATAAAAAAAATTACCTATAACTTCACCCCCCCAAAGTCAGCATTAATATTCTGCTAATATTATGCACACACTCTCACTTTACAAAAGAGATCACAGCATAGTTTTGTGACTTGATTTTTTTCATTTTATGTAAAACATAAAATAGAAATATTACTTAAATGTACAAATGACTGCCATCTCAGCACCATCCTATGTAATGGATAGCATCACCCTACATACAATAATCCTTATGACTGCCATCTCAGCACCATCCTATGTAATGGATAGCATCACTCTACATACAATAATCCATTTAGATTATAAATCTATTAGCCAACCAGGAAAAAGCATTAGGTGGGCACCAATAAATGAGCACACAAATTTTACAGAGGTAAATTTCTCATACTAGATTTGATTTATTTTAATCAATAAGCTACTTCAAAGAAATGTTTCAGAATATAAAAAGTATATTTAAGAGAAACATTTATTTAACTGTTAAGTAACAAGGTATATTTTAAAAACATTAAGGTCCATTGTATTCTTTTTTTTTTTTAAAGAGAGAGAAGAGAAAGAGAGAGAGAGAGAGAATTTTTTCATATTCATTTTTCAGTTTTCGGCGGACACAACATCTTTATTTTTTTTTAATGTGGTGCTGAGGATCGAACCCAGCGCCCCACGCATGCCAGGCGAGCGCGTTACCGCTTGAGCCACATCCCCAGCCCAGGTCCATTGTATTCTTAAGTTTGCTAAAATTAATCTTCATTTATTTAGGAACATTTTATTCATTATTTGATTCTTCTTAATTTTGTTTCTGAAACATAAAGATAGCAAAACATATTATTCCATTAATTTTTTAATTGTTTTTTTTTTGGTTAACACTATCTGAAATCAAAAGATTTTTAAAGGGTGTTCATGTCTGAGATTTAGTCCTATAACTGGGCTGAGATGAAATTATTTTTTAACAAAACTTTGGTTTCATTATAAATGTTTACTTATTTATTTATTTTTATGTGGTATTTATTTATTTATTTTATGAGGATCGAATCCAGGGCCTTGCACATCCTAGGTGAGCGCTCTACCCCTGAGCCACAACATCATCCCCACTATAGGTGGTTTTGAAATTCAACTCTACTATACAGATTTGTTTTTAATTTTTTTTTTTAGTTGTAGATGGACACAATACCTTTATTTTATTTATTTGTATTTTTTTATGTGGCGCTGAGGATAGAACCCAGTGCCTCACACATGCTAGGCAAGCGCTCTACCACTGAGCTGCAACAGCAGCCCCCTCTAGTATTCAGATTTAAAATGCAAAAACATTATCACTCCAAACGAAAAAAAATTTCATTTTGGTGGTTTTAGAATTGAACTGTCCTATTAAGTTGACTAAATAGAAGGTAGGAAGGAAGTAATATCTGGTAAGCCTTATATGTGATTACTGATAAATTATCCATATTCGTAATGTATTAAATCAACATTTACAATGTAGAAATAACTAAAACATAAAGTACTTAATAAAGAGAACAAAAAGTGAATTTAAATACCTTATGGAGGACCTCCTCAGCTCACTTCACTTAAAATGCACCAGGCTGCAGGTAACCATGTTAGTAAAGGGTATCCTTTCTTCCAGGCTAACATTTAGTGTTAATTCAGAAAAATCTGTAACCAGAAAGACAGTAAGATCAGAACTCTTTAACACCCTGCTGGCTTTTCTACACTGACTTTTTTATTAGCACAATAATCAAGAGGTTGACTGAATGGCATATATCTTCTACTTCAAGAGAATTTGTTAGACAAAATTTGGCCAAAACTCAGTTGGACATTGTCATCCAGGACAATTCATTTAAATATTAACCCTTTTGATGCATTTAAAATGTGATTAACAACCTAAAATTTAAGGCAGATTTTGAAAAAAATTTATCTATTTTTCATCTGGGAATATATGGCTTTATTTCTTGAGCCAAATCAACTGAGGTTAAACTGTCTTTTCCCCATCTAAACACATATTTCAGAAAAGAAAGAAATTCTACTTAGGATTTGTAGTCTTCAAGCTAGACATATATCCATTTTTTTCCTCAGACTGATTGTTGTATTAAAAAAAAATGTTAAAAAGTCTAACATTTACATAGGATTAGGTCTGCTTCCTTGCAGAGCAGTATTTTAGCTTCCACACTTTCACCATTACCTGTTACCACTGAGCACCTCTGGGTGGGCAGCACTCTACTAGATACCATTTTTCCACACCACTAACTCCAAATCATTATTCTCTATTCTAATGGCAGCTAAAGGTGTATTCTTTTCTCTTAAGTATCCTACTTTTCACGTCAGCTGTTTTACTTAAGACCATAAAACCCATTAAGTATCTTGAAAAACTAGTTTTTGATCTAAGTGCAATGAAATAAAAAAATCTAATTTCTTAAATGCATATCTTTAACAAAAAATAAATCATTATTGAGCTTTAATGTTTACAATTGGGGCTTTGTTTGGATAGTTCACAACTTTTACAAATGAGGTCTTTCTTCAAGAATGCATCTTGTTTTGGGCCCAAAATCACTGAATAATTTCTAACCTAACATTAAGAATATAGGATAGTGAGAAGAGATTATAAAGTTCAAGCCAAAATTGAGTGCATTTTCAAACACACAAAATATACAATTTCATAAGAATTCTTTATTCAGATAAAAGGAGTCACTGGACCTATGCATTAGCAAATTGTTTTAATATTCAAAATAACTTTCACTTTTTTTGAAGTGATTGTGTCAAAAAGACTCTAAAAGATATGTTCAGTGTACTTTGCTTTTTCAGTATCATTGAAAAAATTTTGTTTCACTTTGCATGATTTTTCTCCTAAGTTTTAAAATGGCATTTTTCATAATTGTATCACATATTTATGTCTTCAAAACTTTCTTCTGAATCATAAAAGCCATATATGTTTTCTTCTTAAAAAATGAAAACAAGTGTAGTTAAAATGTTTAAGTCAATGGATTTCAACTTTAGCTGTACCTGGAGAACTTTACAAATTATTGATGTCCAGGGCTGGGGATGTGGCTTAAGCGGTAGCGTGCTTGCCTGGCATGCGCGCGGCGCTGGGTTCGATCCTCAGCACCACATACAAATAAAGATGTTGTGTCCGCCAAAAACTAAAGAATAAATATTAAAAATTTTTCTCTCTCTCTCCTTAAAAAAAAAAAAATATTGACGTTCAGGCTTTCTCACCAAAAATTCGGATTTACTTGGTTGGAGCAACAGCACTTTAACAGCTCCCCAGATGATTGTTAAGGACCACCTCTGCCCTCACCAGTCCACACTTCAGGGCTAACATTTGGTTCTAGACCTCTTTATATGTCCTAGCCTGTGTTTTCCTATAGTACATAACATTACAACTAATAGTGTTGTTCATAGGTCTGTTTGCACATGTCTGGTGTCTGATTATATGTGTGGATATTGTGACTAATGGAACGGCTAGGCTAAAGCATGTGCTCTTTTACAATTCTAGTGGATATCACCCTCCAGAGACTGTACAACTTTACACTCACACTGGCAAGGTGTGTGGTTGATTGCCTATTACCTCATACCCATACCAGCACAGTGATACTAAAGTTTTTGATCTTTTGCTACTCTGACCAGGTAAAAATGGTATCTGCATAATTTAAAAAAAAATTTTTTTTGGTAGTTGTAGATGGACAGCATGCCTTTATTTTATTTATTTTTAAGTAGTGCTAAGGATCAAACCCATGCCTCACACGTGCTAGGCAAGCACTCTGCCACTGAGCTACAGCCCCAGTCCCTACATAATATAAATTTGCATTTCTTTTTTTTAAAATATGGGTAGGGTTAAACACATTTTATTTATTTATTTATTTATTTACTTACTGTAGTAGGCATTGAATTCTACCACTCTCAGACCTATATCCCCAGCCCAAGCACCTTTTAAGAAACATTCAAATTTCCATTTAGTAAACTGTTCAAATTATTTGCCCATTTTTCTATTAAGTTATTAATTTTTAAAAACTGATTTAAAAGTGTTTTTGTTGTTGTTGTTGTTTTATAGGGAATATATCCCTTTTCTGAACACGGGCTATAAATTTCTCCTCCTAGTTTGTCATTTGTCTTGCCTCTGGCATGTTTTGCCATGCAGAAATTTTTCTATTTCTAAAACTGACTTTCAATCTTTTATAGTGCCCAGGTTTTATATCACACTCAGAAAAGATAAGGCATGATTTTAACTTATGGCTCATGGAAAAATTCTTTCAGTTTTTTTTTTTTTAGGACTTTCACAGTATAGCTATCTGTACAGAGTCTTCAATTGACAGGTTTCTATTATGACTGAATTAAAATATATTTTGGGGAGAAGAATAAACATTGTCTGGAAATAATTTTGAAAGATATTAATGAATGAAATAGAACGATTTGTATTCCCAGGAGTAGCTAATTAAGGTCTTTGAAGTCTTAGACTTTGTTAAAAAACTATCAGATTTGTTTTCAAACAATCCTGGCAATATCTGAATGTATCGATTGAAGACCTATGTGCATAAGAGACAACTGTATCACAATCTGTATGTCTGAAAATACAAGTTTATAGATGCTAAAGGAGGAGGACTTAGTAGGCCAGCTAATTATACAACTAACATGGGTAATCACTGAGAGAGTATAAGAAATTTTAACCCTTACTCTAGTCACAGAGAAGACACCAGGACAGAAATAACACAATTTCAAAGAGTGCACAGTGTGGATTATGAACTAGCATTTCCATCTTATAACCTATTTTTACACCCATGTCCCTACTGCTTGACCTCATGCGATTAAAGTTCCTCTACCCAGGAAAACGAGGAAAAGCACTCTTTCATATGCTGGGCATGGTGGCACCTATAATCCCAGCAACCCAGGAGGCTAAGGCAGAAGCATCACAAGTTTAAGGCCAACCTCAGCAACTTAGCAAGGCCCTAAAAAATAGCAAGACTCTGTCTCAAAATAAAAAATATAAAGCACTCCTGGGTTCAGTTCCTAGTACAAAAAAGAAAAAGCACTCTTTCATGATTATCAAACTCTGAATTTTTCTAAGCATTACACTGGCACAAATATTTGTATGTCTCCCCCCTCCCAAACCCTTTATTTCTAAGAATAAGTTTGTTTTGGCTCAGCCTGGGTAATTCAGTGAAACCCTCTCTGAAAATAAAAAATAAAATGGGATGGGGACACAGTTCAGTAGCAGAGTGCCTCTGGGTTCAATCTTTAGCAATGCAAAAAAAAAAAAAAAGTCTGTTTACACTCAATTCAGGAAAATTATTTAAAACTAAGCACAAGAGCTGTAATAATGATCCCTTCCAGAAAAATTTAGTTTATTTTCACTTGGAATAATTTATCTAAATAGATTACAAATCATCTTTACCAGGTTTCTGAAAATTCAGATGGTCTACAGGTGAACTGTCACTCAATTGCCAAATTGTTTTAACCTTTTTCTGACCGCTATTTATTTCCACTCTCCATTTCTGTGGCTTTTCTCTAAGACCAAGAGGGAAAAAAAAATAAAAACATTAAAAGACAAAACAATGAACAGCTATTTCCTTTCTTTTACAGTCATCTAGTGAAGTCCTTATGGGATAAACACTGAAGAAAAATAGGTCATAACTCCCATTTTGAGTGCAATCAGGAGAGGAAAAGAAATAAGAATACAAATAACAATAATAGAGAAAAACTGGGTAAGAGGACAAGAGAAGCCTGGAATCTGACTCAGAATGGGGACTGCAGAGTTGAGGAAGAACCTCAGAGGTTACAGCATTTGAGCTGAGTATGAAATGATGAGTTAACTAAGCAGACAAAATCTAGGAGGAAGAAATGACACAGGCATAGGCACTGAGGGGTGAGGGTGAGACATCTGAAGAAAGTCAATGATAGCATCCTTGACTCAAAAGGGAGGAGGGAGGATGTGGCATCACCTGGGCCAGAAAGGTGCAGGGTCCAGGCACAGGAGGCCTTGAAGACCACACTTAGGCACAGGAGCACTGTCCTAAAGGTAACAGGGAGTCATTTAAACAGAAAGATATCACAAAAGAGTGTGAATTTTAGAAGATAACTTTGGCAGCAACATTGAAACAGAAGATTATGTTGACAGAGAGAACGGTTAGGAAAGAGGATTTTACCAAAGTCCAGTATGAAAAAGACAAACGTAAAGAAAGTAATGACGATGGGAAGAAAGGGCTGAATTCAAGAGGTACAAATAAGATCAGGACTTTATATCAATTTATTTTATTTTATTATTTCAATTTCTTTAACTGGTGACTTGGTAATCATTTAAAGGAGGGAGTACAGGACAACAATTAGTGGAGAATAAGTCTCAGGTTTCTATTTTAGGTATTAGATGGATACTAATGATGGTCACTTGAAAGATGAAATGCAGAAGGACGACAAAGGGGATTAGGGGCTCATTGTTGTTTTAACATTTTACTAATTTTTAACCAAAAATGTATGTATTTATCATATACAACATGTTTTCTATATATATACATTGTAGAATGGCTGAATCAAGCTGATTAACATGTACATGTACATGTAAAATTTATTCTAGCATTTTTCACCTAATACATAGGTGCCAGGTTGTACAACAGCTCTTAGCACTGGTTCAGAATTAGATTCTAGACTAACTACATGACCCTGAAGCTGGGGATTCACATCTAATAGGCATATAGAAATTTAGGTCTGAAGTTCAGAAGAAGTTGAAGACATAGATTATGAATTATCATTAGCCCAGAGAAACTGTTCTGGTGAAAACTCACATCTAGGAAGCAAGCTGACCAATAACTTAAAAAAAGAACTATTCTTGGGAGTGGGCCAGAGAAGTGAAATTAAAGTTAACACAGAATGCATGTCACAGAAACTAAGAAGATAGGTTTAAGAAAAGTATAGTGCTAAACAACAAATAGCCTATGGGTGCTTACTGAAGGAGAAAACTGATGGCACACAAGGAGCAAAAGAACATTCTTTTACTGAAAATCATCCACTGATTTTGGCAATGAGTGGCTCTTGGGGACCTTCACCTGAGCAGTTTCAGGGGAGAGATGGGGGTTTGTCTAAGAAAGAACTAAATAGAGGGGGGAAATTAACAGTGGCTGTAGTATGAGAGAAACTTCAAGTATTTTCTATGTGGAGGGAAGAATCAGGGGAGACCATCACTTGTAGCAAACCCAGTGCCCAAGTAGATAACTAACCCATCACCATAGCCTCCCCAATCCCACATTCTCCTTTTACTCCCACAGCCATATCCTTGGCCTTGCCACTCTCCTGATCATTCCGCCCCTCCCACCCCAATCTGTCATTTCCTTTCTGGCTCTACTTTCTACTTTCTTTTGTGAACAATTTCAAATTGAGAACAAAATGAAGAATTAAAGGCTTGACAATCTAAAAAGAGCTGATATAAGGTCTGGGAGAAAGAAAGGGGAGGACTACTGGACTGTGGTCAGAGAGTGGGGCACTGATGCAGGTTTCAGAGGAGAAAAGGTTCTAGATTATGAGGTTCCCATGGTATAGACACCAAAATTGCCAAGAATCATGGGTGGACTTAAGGTAGAATTTAATTATTAAACTGCTTACCTTTGGTATAAGTTTTTTATAGCAGCTGGTCTAACTGGCAGCTGAAAAATGTGTTGCTCATCAAGAGGATTTTGTTTATAATATTTTATGCAGGATCTAAAAAAAACAAAACAAAAACCAAAAACTCCTTTTGGAAGACTCATTTGGAGATAAAACTTTCCTTAGACTATCAGAAATATTTTATTGAGTACCATCTACCACAAAAGTACAAAATGAATAGCACCTGCCCAACTAAACTTAGGGTTTTTTTTTTTTTATTATTATTAAAAGGAATCTCAACATCCCCCTACTTCCTTTTTTCTTTCTCTTTCTCTTTCTCTCTCTCTGTACTGGGTATTGGACCCAGGGGTGCTAGGTCAATCACTTTAAAAATAAATTAATAATAGACATATTTCTCATAAATATAAAAACATGCTTAATATGTTTACGTTGAGCCCAAGTAAAGGCTCAAATCAGGACAAAGAGGTATCAGAAACATAAAAACTAAGAGGTAGAAGAGAGACAAAGACATGGCCTCCATGGTTTTCAGAGTCTGGGGTATATGAGTTAACTTGATTATACTACTGATTTTTAATGAAAACAATTCTTTTAGGTTCTGTAAAAAGTAACAATTTCAAACCTTTCTCTTTAAAATTGAGGCAAATTCTAAATTTGGAAAAGGCCCAATGGTTTATTTACTCCTCATTTGAGGGCTCTAGTACATGTAAAACACCAGCAATACATGTATAAGGATTATTCCAAATTGTTTTTAGTTCTAACTGTTCAGAATCTCTAACTACAACAATCCAACTACAGAGGTCTGGTAATACTATCTGATTTCATCCAGTTGTCCATAGAGATGGCTGGTAATGATTAGTCTGACTCAGATTTATAGGGATGTAAAGAAGAGAAGAAACAATATTTATTAAGCACTTATTATGTGTCAGTGACCTTATACACATTATATAATTTAATCCTTACAGCACACATAGGAGGATTATTTATTTGTTTATTGACACTGAGGATTGAACCCACGAGTGCTTAACCACTGAGTCACATCCCCAGCCCTTTTTTATATTTTATTTAGAGACAGGGTCTTGTTGAGTTGCAAAGTGCCTCTCTAAATTGCTGAGGCTGGCTTTGAACTTGCAATCCTCCTGCCTCAGCCTCCTAAGCTGCTGGGATTACAGGCGTGTGCCACCATGCCTGGCTTTACATAGGAAGTTTAATAATCTCTGATGGATCTAATGATGCTTTTCATAGAGGAGGAAACAAGATTAAGTGAGAGGAAACTTCCTAAGGAAGTTAAAAAGTGATAAAACCAAGTGTTAAGTCTGAGTATTCTGGATTCAAAACCCTTTCCTTCCTATGATAGTGACCTAGAACCATGCTAATCTGAAGACAGGGTGAACAAGTTCTATCCCGACTGGCAATAAAAACTACATATTTTGGCTGCAGTTTTTCAGAAGAGAATACCCACGTTCCTTCCTTTCTTTCTTTTCCAGACTGGGGATCAAACTCAGGGCCTTGTACATTCTAGACTACTGCTCTACCACTAAGCTACACCCCAGCCCTTTAGATTTTATTGAAATTTTATTTAGTGAAAAAGTTGGCCAGGCTTGTGATTCTCCTGCCTCAGCCTCCCAAATAGCTGGGATTCAGAAGAGAAGATGTATCTATGAAGTAAACAATAAAAACTTACTGTGTTAAAGAAAAGAGGAGCTCATGTTGAAGTTGAATGAAAAACATGCAACTAACTATTATTTCTAGAATATGGTGAAGTTTTTGAACACGATTAACCTGTTCTTGTATCTCCACTGATGAAGAAATGAAGTATTCCTGGAATGAAAAAAATATAAAAAAGGACTGAAACTGACCAAATTACGCTATATACACATATGATATCATGGTGAATTTCACCTTTATCTGTACTTTAAGCTATATCTCCAGCCATTTTATTTTATTTTTTTAGTATCTTTTTTTAGTTGTAGATGAACACAATATCTTTATTTATTTGTTTTTATGTGGTGCTGAGGATCGAATTCAGTGCCCCACACGTGCAAAGCAAGTGTGTATCTAACACTGAGCCACAGCCCCACCCCTTTTTCAGAGCAGGTCTCACTAATTTGCTGAGAGTGTTCTTAAACAAACGATCCGCCTGCTTCAGCCTCTTGAGTCATTGGTATTACAGGTGTGTACTACCATGCCCAGCTCCCACCTTTATGTATATCTATAAAGCACCAGTTAAAAATAAAACTATAAATAAGTACAAGGAAGACCAATTAAGTAGAGGAAAGGGAATGGGGGAGGGAGGAAGGGAGGGAAAGAGGAAATGGAGTGGGGATACTGAAGCAAATTATATGACATGCATGTATAATTACATCAAAAATGAATACCAGTATTATGTATAATACACTAATAAAAAGAAAAAAGAAGGCTGAATGTTTTCTCTGATAACTGGATACTGATCCATATGGGGGGAGCATGGGATGAATGGAGGAATTTTGATTGGGCAAAGGGGAGGGAGGGTGGGGGCCACGGGGGTAGGAAAGATGGTGGAATGAGATAGACATCATTACCCTAGGTATATGTCTGATTGCACAAATGGTGTGATTCCATGTACAACCAGAGAAGTGATAAATTGTGTTCCATTTGTATATTATGAATCGAAGTGCACTCTGTTGTCATGTATAACTAATTAGAGCAAATTTTTTTTAAAAGTGAAAAAAATAAAATAAAAACAAAAAAGAAAAAAGTATAAGCAAAATAGAGAGTTAAAGAATAAGCAGAATCTAGGGCTGGGGTTGTGGCTCAGTGGTAGAGTGCTTGCCTAGCGTGAATGAAGCCCTGGGTTCAATCCTCACACCACATAAAAATAAATAAATAAAAGTACTGTCTAACTACAACTAAAAAATAAATATTAAAAAAAAAATAAGCAGAATCTGTTACGTGTGGTGGTGCATGCCTATAATCCTAGCAACTTGGGAGGCTGTGCCAAAATACATTCCATTGTCATGTAGAACTAATTAGAACAACAACAAGAAAAAAGAACATCATAGCTGGGCATGGTGGCACATGCTTATAATCCTTGTGGTCAGGCGGCTGAGGCAGGAGGCTTTCAAGTTCAAAGCCAGCCTCAACAACTAGCAAGGCCTAACAACTTAGTGAAAGCCTTTCTCAAAAAAAAAAGTGCTTAAGTGGTATGGTGGGGAGAGGGAGGAATATATGTGTGTGTATGTGTGTGTGTGTGTGAATTCTTTGCAAAATGATTCTTTAATATAAATGGGTTGATAAATATAAAATAAATCTTCTTAATAGGGCTGAAGACATTCCCTAATAATTCTAGAGAAAAGTTATAGCAGCACATTTTAAAAAAATATATTTTATTTTTTAGTTGGACACAATATCATCTTTATTTTATTTATTTTTATGTGGTGCTGAGGATCAAACCCAGGGCCTCACACGTGCTAGGCAAATGTTCTACCGCTGAACCACAACCCCAGCCCATATAGCAGCACATTTGCTAGAGCAGGATGAAAACATATATCAGTATCATCAATTTGTAAAGTAAGAGAAATGACATTGAGTAGACTAGTTTTTCATTTGTCTTACTAGATAGTAATAGTTAAGGTATTGACTGTCTTTTTCATGTTTCCTAGAGCACATTACAGACACTTAAGATAGAATGACTAAACAAAAGAAAAACCAATTTTAGAATTAAAAAAACTCACCAAGTGATTCAAAGATGCAAGTTCCTGACCTATGAAAAAAAAACACATATATGCAAATCAGTTTTAGGAATTGTCTATTACATGTTAAGGAACCCAAGCAAAACTTTCCATAGTTCATACATGAAAGAGATCATCAAGCTAAACACTTCCTCATAAAAGACCAATTTTTTTCTGACATTTTACACCATAAATACATATTAATACTATTCTAAAACTGATCACAGCTTGCTCTAATAAAAAATCACCAAGTATTGGGTATTAAAATAGCATCTCATAAAAGGCTTTTTAATTTACTAAACTTGCCGAATCTCAAATGTTTGAACTATAAGCAAACAAACAAAACTATAGCTATATTTAATTTAATATCTTTTTGAATGGCTCACAGGAGAGAAATGCTTGTTTCACAGTGAAAGGGGTGGGTGGGGTGGACCAGGAATACAAATGACTAGAAGCAAGTAGAAAGATAAAATGTGAAAATATCTATGGATGACAACTGGACATGCTTTTTAATGTTTTGAGCTGGGAAAGGAACTTACCTACAAAAAAACTGATATAATCTTTTTTTAGTTTGTCCAAGCCAATTTCCAAAAGCATTTGAAGTGGAATAGTCCCACTGAGAGAAACTGTGTCCATGGTTCCATGATAAGACTGATGAATGAGCTTACTTAGTAGACTGTTACTCCCACTATGGAGCTAGAAATCAAGAAATTTTTATAAAACCATCCAATATGCAAAAGAGAAGTAAACTGCATAAGTTAAAAATTATAAGCTTTCATTCTTCATCTCCTGACACTACAAATTGTTTGAATATGTCAGTTTCTAAACTGTCACTACAAATTGTTTGAATAAGTCAGTTTCTAAACAGTCACTACAAATTGTTTGAATATGACAGTTTCTAAACTGTCTTTTCTACCTTAATTGTTGAAAAGTTCAAAGCAACTCAGAAGAGTTTAAACTTACCACCCCTAAGTGATAAGCTTAAGCTGTGGGAAAACTCTATCCCTCAATGGCCTGTGCATATATCATAAAGAATTCCTTTATGGCTATGATATCCAATATAACTTGATAACTGCCAATTACAAAGAACTGTGAACTTAAAGATTTAATGTGTTCCAAGTACTATATAATTCATTTTAAACATATATAAAATATTTGTCATTTTCCCACTAGTTTCTATTTATTTCTATTTTAACTTTTATCACAATCTTTTTGCATTTTTTTTTAAAGTAGTTTCACATTTTGCACTTACTGTATACAAAAGAATTTTACTTGTAAACATCTTAAAAACACAGAAATTCTTAACATAAAATTATAGATAGTCAAAACTAAAATGCCTACAATCACTAATGCCCAATTAAGCAGAGCCTTTGCTCTCAAGTGTACCTCTGTTCAGAACTAAGAAAGCCTTTTTTCTTTTTGGTGGTGGTGGCAGGGTGTGCTAGGGATTAACCCAGGGCTTCATACATCTATGAAAGTTTTTAAACTTTCATAGTTGTGAATTGACAGCCAAGTTATTTAAGATTCCTATTAAAGAAGGAATTTTTGTTTGTTTCCAACTTTTAGCTTTTCCGTCATTGTAAAAATAGTGCAATTTCAGTATGGAAAATTTGTAAAGTACAGAAACATATAATGTAGTTGGAAAAAGTCACTTGTAATCTTTTCACCAGAGTTGACTGTTATTAATATTTTAGCATACTTGTTTTTAGATTTTTCTCTCCAAAATTTACATTTTTAAAAATATTTATTTTTTTTGAACAACTAATAAAAAAATTTATTTTTTAGGACACAATGCCTTTATTTAATTTATTTATTCTATGTGGTGCTAAGGATAGAACCCAGGGCCTTGCACATGCTAGGCGAGCACTCTACTGCTGAGCTACAACCCCAGCCCCCCAAATTTACATTTTTATACAACTGTGTATACTCCTTTTTTTTTTTTTTTACTGAACATTATAAGCATCTTTCCACATCATTTGTCAGCAACACTTTCTAGCAACTATGATACATGCTATTATGTGGCTGTATCATTATGTACTTGCCATTCCTTTAACAAGGGGAATTTAGTTGTTTATAATCTTTTGCTACTATAAATGAAACTATAATGACTATTCTGATATATGCAATCTTGACATATATTTTTGTTTATGAGTTTAGCGTGGATTCTGTCCTTAGAATAATAGTTCAAAGGTCATGCTACATTTTGAGGATATCAATACATCTTCAAAATTACTTTTAAAAAAGAGTATCCCAGGAGCTAGGGCTCAGTGGTAGAACTCTTGCCTTGCATGCATGAGACACTGGGTTCGATCCTCAGCACCACATAAAAATAAATAAGTAAAATAAAGACATTGTGTCCATCTACAAATAAAAATATATTAAAAAAAAGAGTATCCCAGTTTTTATTTTCATCATTGGTATATGGAAATACTCAGACACAGAATAGTTAACAATGACAATATTAGTAGCTGCAGTGCCTGTGTCCTTACCCATCATACTATGCCACTGAGAACACATTCTAGCACTATTCAACCTACCCATGGCTGTATATCACCACGTTGTAGACTCTGGATGATCAACGTGAAACACTTCACCAAGTCTTGATATGAAACCACACCTTCAAAACCAAGTCAAACTGACATTATTTTCATATTTCTATAAATCAAAAATGTCATTAAACTTAAGAATACACAAATGAATTAGAAGAATCTGTACTTTATAGATGGGGGAAAGGAAAAAAATTTACAGAAAAAAGACTTAAAGCATTTAAAAAAAAATACTTACTTTTTTAGTTGTAGTTGGACACAATACCTTTATTTTATTTATTTATTTTTTATATGGTGATGAGGATCAAACCCAGGGCCTCGCACATGCTAGGTAAGTGCTCTATTGCTAAGCCACAACCCCAGCCCCGACTTAATACATTTCTAAGGTTGAACTGAGATTGCCAGAAAATAATATAGTAAGCAAAATATTAAGAAATACTTTTGATTTTTCTAATAATTATAAATTTATTAGGTATATATTTGTGTTCATATAAATATAACATAATACTGGGGGTGTTGCATGCCAGTAATCCCAGCAACTGGGGAAGATGAGGCAGGAGAATCTTGAGTTCTAAGCCTGCCTCAGCAACTTAGCAAGGCCTTAAGTAACTTAGCAAGACCCTATCTCAAAATAAAAAATAAAAAGGACTGGGATGTGGCTCAGTGGTTAAGCGCACCTGGGTTCAATCCCCAGCACCATAAATAAATAAAAGAAACATAAAGCAAAATCTAATACTTTAAAAAGCAGGAGCAGAGCTGAGATTGTAGCTCAGTAGTAGAGTGCTTGCCTAGGACCTGCAAGGCCCTGGGTTCTTGATCCTCAGCACTTCAGAATAAAACTTGTCCCTCCAACCATATCAGACCTCCTGGCTCTAATAAATTCCAACCAAAAAGCATATCAAGGTTAAAGAGAGAACTTACATAAAAAAATAAATAAAATAAATATACAAAAAAAAAAAAAAAAAAGCAGGAGAAAAGAATAGACTTATAAAATTGCTTTATCTTAGTATAATTCTTGAGCATAATATGCCAATCTATTATTAGAAATGAATTTGATAATATAAACATAGACTGGTAGTACATACTGCATTATTTCCAAAAGATTTAAATAACAAAAAAATTTTTAATCACAATGGATACCTACTGCTGCTCATTTTGCACCAAAGTTGTTCAGCAAAATCAAGATCACCCCGCACTGTGATAAGTACGGACCTATCAACTGCAGCAGTGTCATGATTCACTGTCTGAAAAAGATATAAGTTTGAAAGAATGTCAGTTTATTTATTTTTAAAGTGAAATAGCTTAAGTTTTTAAAGGCTGCTCTGAGACATTGCAGATTTATCAACACAAAGAATAATATGAATATATTTTCTACACCTTTTCATTCACTGATGAGACACACAATAGATTTGAAAAACTAGACTTCTTAAAGTTATTTTAAAACTCTAATGCCTAGAAATGAGCATTCAGTTTTCTTTCCACATAATATTTATTAAATTACCTTAGTCTCCATTTTTCTTTTCATTAAAATGAGAACATATCTAGTTTTAATTACTAATACCACATTATGTCATAATAACATCATTTTAAAGTGTATTAGTATACTATAGCAATATCATCATATAGTGTACTGACACTCACTTCTCTGTAATTGAGTAGCTTAATAATAATGAGATTGTACCAGATCTACTTGAGATGATACAACAAGAAAGGTAATAGCATAAGCAAATTTTCAAAGCATTTCCTGTGTACGTTTCTAACTAATAATAATCACTTACCTCTGCATCTTTTTTTGTAGGATCACCAAATCCATCCAGCTTATTTAAGTCTAGAAAGTAGCAAAAGCTAATTAACTTAATTTTTGTTTTCAAGTTTTCCAAATTATTTTCATCCTACTCCTATTCTCAAGTAGCAAATGGGAACAGTAAAAGTATGAAATTTAACAAATTAACCTAACTCTGCAATGGCAGTAACAATAAATACCCATCAGGTAGGGGTGCGAGAATGAACTGAGGTAACATGAAAGCCCCTGACACACAATGCTGGACACATGGTAGGTACTCAAGGGTTACTATTTCATCCTTCTTTTCCTATGATCTCAAATATGTTTGTGTTATATAAATTTCAAACTAAATCTTATTAGTTTTTTTTTTTTTTTAAGAATTACTTAGGTCTTTACCATTAGCACTTTGGAATAAAATCTGTCCCTTCAACCATGTCAGACCTCCTGGCTCTAATAAATTCCAACCAAAAAGCATATCAAGTTTAAAGAGAGAATTTACATTTAAATATACCAAGTGTAAATTCCTATTTAAGAAAAACAAGAGTGAATTAGGAGTTTCATAGGGGCAATTTAGCAAGATGTCTCAAAAAATAAAAAATAAAAAGGGCCGAGGGTATAGCTCAGTGGTAGAGCACCCTGGATTCAATCCTCAATACCCCAGTCCCTGCAATAAGAATGAATTAGGAAAACAAACACCATTCAGAAATTCTTGCACAAGTTCAATAGCAGATTTTGCTTCCAGGGGCTCGAGCCATTCAGTCACACCAGTCTTCAAACCATCAGCCAAAACCTATGGGAGATTTTAAAAAGCCCAGAAGCTTGTTAGTAGAAAATATAGCTTAATAAATAAGGATGTATTTAGTACTATTAATGGTAGTGACATTTCTTGAGTATTTAAACTCAACTGCACTGTGAAAGTATATGGTAGATTGCTTGCCTACCATGTGTGAGGCACTGGGTTTGATTCTCAGCACCACACATAAACAAATAAATAAATAAAGGTTCATCAATAACTAATAAAAATTTTTTAAAAATGAGGTAGCTATTACTATTACTCTCATTTCATTGAGGCTAAGCTAAGCGAGGTTAAATAACTTGCTCATAGTCACTCAATTATGTAATTCCAATTAGTAAAGAAAAGCCAACAGCACATGAAAATATGTTCAAAGTCATTAGAAATGCAAATCAAAATTACAAGATACTAGTTTGTTCCCACTAGAATGGCTATCATTTTTTAAATTTGACAATATCAAGTGTTGGCAAGGATACAAAGAAACTGGAACCTTCCTACAATGCCTGTAAGAATGTAAAATGCGGCAACCACTTTGGAAAAAAGTAACAGTGTGACAGTCCCTTCAGAGGTTCAAACAGTTACCATAGACCTAACAACTCCATCTATGAAATTTGTAAACATATCTACACAAAAACTTGCATATGAATGTTCACAGCAGCATTATTCATGATAGGCAAAAAGTAGAAACAACTACAATGACCATCAGCTGATGACTGGATAAACAAGATGTGGTGTATCTATACAATGGAATGCTACTTAGCACTATAAAGGACCAAACAGAAAGTAGATAGTGATTGCCATGGGCTGGTGGAGGTGGGAAGTGAATGCTAATGGGTATAGTGGGCACCAGATTTCATGAAGGGGTGATGAAAATGTTTTAAAATTAATTGTTGATGTGTACAACTTGGGTAAATATACTAAAAACCACTGAAATGCACAGTTAAAATGAGCGAATTTTATGGAATATAATTTATATTTCAATAAAACTATTTTCAAAAATAAATGAAAAGAAATGAGCAGGACAGCAGCTGGATCATACCTGGCTTTGTATGCCAGGCTATATGGAATTTCTACTGCATTAAAATGAGACATGCTCCTAAGATTCAATTTGTAGAGTAGAGCTAAAATTACTGAAATATAAAATTCTTCAAACACACATTAATCTTTAGCATCAATCAAAATTCCAGTTATGAATAGCAGGCCATTTGGAATAAACTGGCAATTGACCCACCTGGAAAGGGGGTACCCTCATATAAATAAAAAGGAAACACTCTAGTAGAAAATGGAAAGATTTGTAGTTACTGATGCTCCCCTTTAAAACTGTAAGGACAATCACCATGTAAGTGATATTAGCAAACTTTTTTTATGAAAACATGCAATTTAATGAAAGTTAAGAATTTCAGAAGGATACTCACAAGGACAAATTTCAGTTCTCTGTGAAGATGATTCAAACAACCTCTGGGCTCTCCTGATTCCACTTTAATATTCTAAAAAGAACACCAAATCTGTCAGTTTTAATGGGCAATAGCTGCATAAGAGAGTAACTTGCATTTCAAACCAACCAAACATTTAAAAATATATTTTATAAAGCATCAATGAATTGAAAAATTAGATCAACACTTCATTTAAAACATTTTACCCAGATTCTGCCATCTTGATATAGTAACCTAAGCTCAGGGAATTGTATACCCTCTCTACATACCATAAACAACTGTACTTGCATGGAACAATTGCCCTTTTCACATGCACTGCTCTCCTGCTTCAAACACACACTTATTAATCTTTAGCATCAAGAGGACAAGGTAGAGAAATTTCAGTCAATGTATCTAAAGACTCAATGATAACTTAGCATTATCACACACCAAAAATAAAAATCCAATAGTTTTATAGACTCCTTCTAACTAAGCCAATAGAGCACTGTCCTAGTCAGAGGTTAAAGTTTTACAAATTTAAGACCTTATCATTTTTTTTAAAAGGCCAATATATGTAAATCCCTACTACAGGAAAAGCACAAAGAATGTAATTATCCAAAATCTTACCATGCTGAAGGAACCACTGTTAACACTATCCAGGTTTCTGTGCATGCATTTTTTTAAACATAGTTGAGATCATACTGTATATATTATTTTGTATATTTCCTTTGTTCTTAAAAAGAATTTTCTATTTAAGACATTTTGAAACATGACTTTTTAAAGCCTGGATAATATGTCACCATGGATATCTATTTTAACTACTTCCCTATTGAACATTCAGGCTTTGTTTTTAATATTTTAGAAAGAACTGTGTCCAAGATTGAATATCTTCTACATGATTTTTTTTTTTTTTTTGGGGGGGGGGGTACCAGGGATTGAACTCAGGGGCATTCAACCACTAAGCCACATCCCCAGCCCTATTTTGTATTTTATTTAGCAACTCTCACTGAGTTGCTTAGCACCTTGCTTTTGTTGAGGCTGGCTTTGAACTCAAGATTCTCCTGTCTCAGCCTCCTGAGCTGCTGCACCATGGCACCCAGCAATATCTGCATTCTTAAGAACACAGGAAACCATAAATCATTTTAAGTCTCCACATAACAGACTTCATTAATCACTAGAAAATTCTGTTTTAATTTAATTTTAATTTTTTTAGTTGTTGATGGACTTTTATTTTATTCATTTATTTATATGTGATGCTGAGAATTGATCCCAGAGCCTCACACACATTTGAGGCAAGTACTCTACCACCGAGCCAAAAACCTAGCACTAGAAAATTCTTAAATTTCTAATTGTGGAATTGTGAGCAACTGATGGCTCAGCTCACTTGGCAAAACCTCCCCTGGATGCCCTGGTGAGACTCCAGGAGCAAGGCAAGACTTTCAGAGTTGTCCAGCCTTATACCCAGTGACTGCTAGAACTGAAAGCATGCAGCCCCAGCAATGAGCAAGTAAACAACCATTTAGGGGTCTTATAAACCCAAGCAGAAAAAAGGGTCCATTCGTACCAGAACTGCAGTTGAAGAGAGTGGGGGAATTTGAAGAATCTCATCGACAGGACTCCAGGAAATATCCAAAGTGATTGTAGTTTGTGATGGGGTGACTATATCATCCAAAACAGTGGACTTAAAGAGCTCATACTGGGCAAAGCCTCTGGCTGTTACCTGAAAAGAGTGCATCCAGCAGACCCTTAGCACTATGTTTTCAAATGGCCCAAGAGCCCATTTTTTTGCAAAACTACTTTGATTCTTGTCCCAAAAGAAAAAAAGCTCCTTACTCTGACTTTCATTCCAAATGGAAAAATAAGAGTTCTTTTTAAGTGACAAACATTAGCTTAAAGGCAAGAAGTCACATATAGTCAGCCCTCTGTATCCACGGGTTCTGCACCAACCATGGAGCAAAAACATCATTTTAAAAACTACATCTGTATTGAATATGTACAGACTTTTTCTTGTCATTATTCTCTGAAAATAAAATATAGCAACTGTTTACAAAGCATTTACACTGTATTTGCTATTAAAAGTAATCTAGAGATGATTTTATGCACAAAGGAGGATATGCATCAGTTATATGGAAATACTACACCATTTTATATAAGGGACTTGAGCAACTGAGATTTTGGTATCTGAGGAAGGTCTTAGAATCTATCCCCATTGATACCAAGGATGACTGTATCTTAGCTGCTGATAATATGAAAATAAACTTGATAAATTTCAGAAGTGAAAAAAATCTCTTTTGGGGGGAGAGGAGGTACTGGAGATCAGAAATGAAAAAAAAAAACTCGGGGCTGGGGATGTGGCTTAAGCGGTAGCGCACTTGCCTGGCATGCGTGCGGCCCGGGTTCAATCCTCAGCACCACATACAAATAAAGATGTTGCGTCTGCCGAAAACTAAAAAATAAATATTAAAAAATTCTCTCTTTAAAAAAAAAAAGAAAGAAAAAAAAAAAAACTCTTTTGGGGAGAGGAAGTACTGGCCTTGCACACGTAAGGCAAGCATTCTACCACTGATCTACATTCACATCTTGAAAAAAATGTTTAAAACTAGGAAGGCAGGTCAATAACATTTTGAAAAAAAAAAAATAAGAGAGAAATACTTACAGTAGACAAGTGATGTCTTTTCTTGTGTGAATTTTTTAGGTTTTCCAGACTTACAGAATAATTTTTATCAGCTACAGGATACGAAAGAAAAAATTAAAGGTACCACTGAAAATTATATTGTTAGAGAGTTAGAAAATCATAATTTCTTAAATTGTGAGGATGCCATAATACTAATAATAATTGTTGATATTAAATTTTAAATCACTGTGAGTGAAATGTTTATTTCAAAATAAAAGTGAAACAAAGGTCAATATCACCATCAAAAATGTAATTAAAGCTAGGTGTAGTGGTACAGGACTGGAATCCCAGCAACTCAGGAGGCTGAGACCATAAGCAACTTAGTAAGACCATGTTTCAAAAATAAAATAAATTTAAAAAATCATTAAATGTTTACTATGAGTCTGGAATTATATTGTTATTATATTCAGTTATTTATATCTAAGGAAAGTTGCAAAAACATACACATGCGAATCAAATGAAACCCAAACAAAACAGGCATAACCTCCTTTCCAGACTTTCTGGTTTTTCCAGAATCCTTCCTCCAAGTTGTACAGTGGAGTAACTTCATGTAATCAACTAAAGTCCCACTGTGTACACTTCCCCTTTAATATAAATATTCAGTAAAAACCCAAAACAAAAATTATACAAATAAATACAAAGAATGAGCACTCACCTTTACAACTAACCACATACAAGACAATTCCTGTAATACTGTCATTTGTTGTGATAAGCTCAGCTCCTAGCCAACAGGTACTTTCAGGATCTGAACTGTCACATCTTATCCAAAGGGGAGGAAGGGCAGTAACTGGCTGATTAATCTTCAAATGGGTCATATTAGGATTGTGAGCCATGGTGTAAAGTCCAATTAATTGCCTTGAAAATAAGAGTAAGAAGAACAAATTTAGGTAAAGATCATAATCAAGAATTTTCTTTTTGGGCTGAGTGTGTAGCTCAGTGGTAGAACACATGCTTAACAAGGGAGAGGCCCTTGCATCTGATCCCCAGAACTACCACCAAAACAAAAGTGTGAGGCCTGGGTTTAATACCTAGAACTGCAAAAATAAATAAACACAAAACTTTAATTTTTTAAAAAATAAATGAAAAGTAAAAAATAAAAAGTAACACTATACCAAGAAGAGTCTCAAAAACATCAATTTGGAAATAAAGTAGCAAAATGCGTAAGTATATATGTATGTATATTTCACACAGAGATGTGAGAATAAAGCACACTAGTTGATCAAGAAACACAGACCATAAAGTTAAGAGTCTGACTATATGGGAGCAGCTACTAAAAAGGAGATCAATATGGAGATGGGGTGAGAATGGAAGTTGGGTGTGAGAGTAATTTAAAGAAATAATAGGTAGGAGCCAATAAGCATATCATAAGATGCTCAAAGTCATGAATCACCGGGATACTTAAGGAAATTTAAATGTGGCCTCTGAATTAGATACTAATTATAATGTTAAATTTTCAGATTTTGATCATTGTTCTGTGGTTACATAAGAGAATATATTTGTGGGCTGGGGATATAGCTCAGTTGGTAGAGTGTGCTTACCTTGCATGTATGTACAGGTCCCTGGGTTCCATCCCCAGCACCCCCCCCACACATACACACAAAGACAGAGTAACAAGATAAAATCATAAACATTAAAAAAAGAGAGAATACATTTGTTTTTAGAAATTATACAGTGAAATATTTGGGGATAAAAGAATGAAGCTTCTGGGCTGGGGTTGTTGGCTTAGTGTTAGAGTGCTTGCCTTGTATGTGTGAGGAACTGGGTTTGATCCTCAGCACTGCATATAAATAAATAATAAATAAATAAAGGTCCATCGACAACTAAAAATTCAAAAAAAAAAAAAAAAAGATAAAGCTTCTCCAATATACTATCTATACCTATTACATACATCTATACCTATATGTCATTTAAAAAAATTGCATATATATATATATATATATATATATATGTGTATGTATGGTATGTGTATTTTATATGTAGCTATATAAGTGCATACTTACAACATAAATACGTACACACTATATATATTTCAATAGTTACATGCGTTGTATATAAAAATAACAATATATAATTAACAATATAGTTATACTGTGTACACAAGTGTACTGTATGTACACTGCTTTATGTATAGATCTACATAGAGAGGGAGAGAGATTGACACAGCAGATTTAGCAAAATAAAATAATTAGTGAATTTGGGTTAAGGGTACACAGAAGTTCCTGCACTATCTTATAACTTTCTAAAACTTTATAAATATATCAAAACTAAAGGTTACTCACAAAATGTGTTTAAATTTTTGTTTTTTCAAAGAGATAAAACCTGAATTTACTATGAACAGATGTCCAGGAAATAAATTTCTAAACAATTTTATTTCAAAAAGGAAGTAAAATAATTCCAGAAGGATGGTTTAAAATGCAAGAAGAAATAGAAAGCAAAGAAATGATAGCATATGAATCAATCCAAAAAACACTGCCTGATGAAAACAATATCAACAATGTTCAAGTTGTCTGGGAGAAAAACAGCCTATATTAGGACTTAAACTCAAGAAGCCGTGAAAGAAAAGACTGAATAATTTAGCTACATACAATTTTAAAAAAACTTTCACAAAGCAACAAAAACAAAACAAACTTGCATGAAGGAAAGTCACTTTGCAAACAGTGTTATGGTAACTATCACTCTCTAATGATATTATTTTTATGACTCTATCCTCCAGAACTCCTTGAAGGCAAGGAATTTATTTTGTTTTGTAAGTATGGAAAGGTTGGGCAAAGGGAACTACATATGGCTACACAGCAGGAAGACAGAAAGTGAAGCTGGAGAGGCAGATAGAGGCATTAGGATTTCCAAAAAGGGCACAGTGCCATCTTGGGTAGGTAATTCCCAGTTGTGCAGGAAAACTCCACGCATTGCAGGACATTTACCATCCACAGCCCAATCCCAGTAAATGCCAGTCGTTTCCCTTGATGGTTATGACTAAAAATACCCCTGAATACTTCCAATGCCCATGGGGTATGGTACCATTCCATGTGGAGGATCTCCAGGACAAGTAAATGAAGCTCCTGTATGTTACTCATGTGGAATCTGGATTTTATCATAAAGGGAAGGAAGAACAACTGAAGGATTTTTAAGCAATATGATCAGGTTTTTATTTTATAAAGATCAGTATGGGACTGGGCTCAGTGATAGAGCACTTACCTAAGGCCCTGGGTTTGAGATTCTCAGCACCAAAAACAAAAAAATCACTGTGGCAGTAGTGAGGGAAAAAAAAAAAATGTAGAAGAGGTGCCAGTTTAAACACAAGGAAAACAAGAAGCAACAACAAATTGGAAAAGAGTGGAGAAAGGGAAGATAACTGTGTTCTTCCTACATATTCATGATGCAGATGGAATGTCCTAATGGAGCTATTTTTAGAGAGCTGGGCTTGTATATCTTAGGGGAAAATGGAAGGAAGAGAGATATCTGGGTGCTAGATACCTATTTTTTCCCAATATTTACAAGAATGCTTCAAATTAAATCCTCCCCCCTTCCACCTCTGACCCTATGCTGAGGGAAAAACTTACCTTGCTTTCCCAACTGGTAAAGCAAGTGGTCCAACATTTTCACCAGTAGAGAAATCAGAAATAGCAGTTTCTTCAGTATGTGGTTCTTCAACATGACTTGTTTCTTCCTTTTCTAATGGCTTTCAAAATGGTTTTAATTATTTAATCAGATAAAATAGCACTTTTTAGTCAACGCCTTACTATGTAAGGGAATAACTACAGACAGAACCTAACATACTCATTTCTATACCCATAAGCACAAACGATGGGGTTGTAGTCACAGACTAGTTTGGTACCAACAAATCACACCATTATAAGCATTTCCACTATTCCATAAAAAAGATATCAATTTAGTTGCTCCTGGTAAAGGAAACATCTGATGCCATTAGAAAAGTGCTCCAATATGCACAAAGTGATAAAATCAATATCAAGTTAAATCAAGCTAAAGATAAGATACCAAGGGAAATACCAAGAGAACCTCCCAGATTTTGTTGGATTTTTCATTTCCCAAACTGGGAGATCTTCTTTCTGGGATATGATCTTAACTCCACAGTCTTGCTCCTTGTACCTATTCCTCTTAGGGCTATCAGCAGTTGTCATTGGTATTATAGGATTCCAGTATCTATGTATTTACAAGATAGTTAAATAGCATAGCTTAGGTAGTAACAACAGAATTTTAAGAGTTAACAATTCCTGAGTACTAAATACTGTTCTAAGTTATCTTTTATTCTTCACAAAAATCCTGAGCTAGATGTTATTATCATCTCTGGGAAAACCGAGGTAGCAAAAGGCTAAATAACTTGCCTAAAAGCCAATATTTGAACCTAAGTGTGCTCACATGGAAACCTACATAAGAATGCTTACAATAGCTCTATTCATTATACTACCAAATGTCCTTCAAAGGGTGAATGGGTAAATAAACTGTGATACTCCATATCATGGAATACTATTCAGCAATAAGAGTAAATGAACTATTGATACAAACTGAATGAACCTTAAAGGCATTACACTAAGTAAAAGAAGTCAGACTCAAAAGCTTTCACATTGTGATTCCATTCATGACATTCTTGAAAAGACAAAACTACAGTAATAGAAAAGAAACCAATGGCTGCCAATGGTTAGGGGATAGGAGAGGATATGATTACAAAGGACTAGCATGAGGGAGATTTTTGGTGAGATGGAAGTGTTTTATATTCCAACTATAGTAGTGATTATAAGAATCGTTATGTATGTCAAAATTCATAGGACTGAACAAAAGAAGAAAAAAGTCAACTTTATTGTCTCAATGATAATTTCACTTCTTTCTTTTTCTTAATAAAACTACTAAAGCATTTAAAACTACATATATGGTTGACAGTTTATTTCTACTAGACAGCACTATGCTTATTCCTAAAAGAATTATATACACACTCCCTAATGCTGATAGAAAAATGTGTGTGTGATTATTCCCAAGGAAGCAAATCTACTTATTAAGAATCATACAGGACTAGGGCTGGGGCTTAGCAGTAGAGCACTCACCTAGCACGTATGAGGCCCTGGGTTCAATCCTCAGCACCATATAAAATAAATAAAATAAGCATACAGTGTCCAACTACAACTAAAAAATAAATATTAAAAAAAAAAGAATCATATAACCATAAAGCCCAAGCACTGCTTACCACTTTTTCCACAATGAATACTAAGTCATTTTCATTTAGAATATTTTTCAGAGGGTTTGGTTGACCTTTGTTGATCAACTGCACTTGGATATCAGCCTGTTAAAAACATACGTCAAGCAATGTTTTTATATATATATATATATATATATATATATATATATATATATATATATACACACACACACACACTTTTGTACAAATATATAAACACACTAAGACTGGTTCTATGTAAGTGACCTGAAGAGATTTTAACAAGTCATATGTTTTAAAAGATTTTATTAATTTTTTTGTCCATGTTATTTCTCATGATGTTTAGAAAACTTAGCTCTTAAACCTAACACCTCTTCATGCTTCAAGGTCTACCTGAGGTGCAACTGCCTTGTAAAGTCATCTTTGCTTTGAACCACATTGACATCCTTTTCCCCAAATCACACTTTGTATTTACTGTTTTGTAGCATAAAATTACCAATTTATTAAATATTATCCTTTCTTTTGATTGTACTATAAAATTTTAAAACTTTACCACTATCAGTTTGCAGAAACTTTATATATTTTTTCATTCCAAATGCAATACACAACTATTGTAAAAAATGCTTTTTTTAAATATAAGTTTTTTAAAAATCACCCATAATTCTACTACCCAGTATAATTACTACTGTTTTCAGTCTGGTTGGCTTATATTCTGTCAGATCTTTTACAAGGCATACAAAAAATTGTCACTTATGTAAAAAGAAATGTGGGGCTGGGAATATAGCTCAATTTGTAGGATGCTTGCCTTGCATGCACAAGGCCCAGGGTTCAATCCCCAGCACCATTAAAAAAAAAAAAAAAAAGAAAGAAAGTATCTATTTAGATATCTGGACAGAATTTTGTTTAGTAAAGACAGGATATTCCAATAATTTTCATGAACCTTTTTCCATGTCATTATTCTTTTTCTTTTTGGTAGTTTCCAGTTATTTGCTACAATATATAACGGAAAGTAAATATCTATCAAAAATGTTAAGATGAACACCTAAAATCACATTAATATTGTCAAATACATCATACCCAAATTATTTGTTTGTTTAGCAGTACTGGGGATTGAACCCAGGAGTGCTCTATCACTGAGCTACATGCCCAGATCTTTTGAGACAGGGAGGGACTCACTAAATTGCCTAGGCTGGCCTTGATCATGGAAGCATGGTCCTAGCAACACCTAGATTTCAACACTGAGAATAAATTTCATGTTTTAAGCAGTCTTATTTGTGGTACTTTGTAAGAGCAGCCCTAAAAAACTATTCTTCTATTAATTTTTGTCTTGTGAATTTTTAAGAGCCTTACATATTTTATTTATACAGATGGATATACATATTAACACTTATCCACAATTATTTCTCCTCAGCTTGTCTTTTAATATATACTATTTAATTCACTAATTATTCCTATGGAATACTTGGCACATATCAGATGCTTAACAAATACATGAATATTTAAAGCAGCTTTACTCATAAGCCTCAAAAACTGGAAACAAATCGGGCTTGGTGGTGCACTCCTGTAATCCCAGCAGCTTAGGAGGCTGAGGCAGGAGGATTGCAAATTCAAAGCCAGCTTCAGCAACTTAATGAGGATCTAAGCAACTTAGTGAGATCATGTCTCAAAATAAAAAATAAAAAGGACTAAGGATGTGGCTCAGTGGTTAAGTGCTCCTAGCTCTATCCCTGGTGCCAAAAACAACAACAACAACAACAAAAAAAAAAAACCAAAAAACTGGAAATAACTCAAATATCCCTCAATCAGGATTGGATAACACAATTGTAGTACACCTATAAAAATGAATTATTGATACATAAACAATATAGATGAATCTCAAATGCATTATACTGATTGAAAAAAAAGCCAGAAGGCTAGATGATTTTATCTATATATATAATGAAAAAGGCAAAACTATAGTGACAAAAAACAAATTAGTAGTTGCTAGGAACTAAGGGCAGGGGAAAAGGTTATCCTCACAAGAACATGAGGAAAAAAAATTTTGTTTGGTACTAGGAATTAAACCCAGGGACTCACACATGCTATGTAAGCACTCTATATGCTGAGCTACATCTCCAGCCCTTTTTACTTATCTAAGTTGCCCAGGCTGGACTCAAACTTGCAATTCTCCTGCCTCAGCCTTAAAGCTGTGTGCTACCACACTCAGGTAATATGAGAAAATTTTCAGAGATAAAGAAATGTTGGGGCTCGGGTGGTGGCTCAGAGGTAGAGCGCTTGCCTGGCACGTGTGAGGCCCTGGGTTCAATTCTCAGCACCACATACAAATAAATAAATTAAATAAAGGTCCATCAATGACTAAAAAATATTTTTAAAAATGTTCTATATCTCAATTATAGAAGTGATATGACTAAAGGTATTTGTCAAAACTCACAGAACTGTACCCCAAAACAGTGAAATTTGCTGAATGTGAATTAATTTCAATAAATCTGACTTAAAACCCTACAATTTTAGGGTAGAGTTGTGTTTAAAAACCAAATAAACATTTCATACCTCATAGATAAATGGGTCTTTACAGATTCCTTTCTTTTCTTCATTAAATTCTCTGAAATGAAGAACCACATGTGAAAAGTAGAGCTATAGCTTAATTAAACTCAGAAGTTAGCTGCACTTTACCTCTGCATGATATCAGTGAGGGGAAAAATAAAAATACCTATGGCAGCCCTAGGGCATAGTTGGAAAGAGGAGAAAAAAGAAGTGCTTAGATTAAGAAGGAAAAAAAAAAAAAAGAATTGTGATAGATTAATGAACTGCTACCCACAATTATACACAAGTTTCTTCTTCTTTTTAAAATTTTGGTACTAGGGATTTAACCCAGGGGCCCTTTACCACTGAGCAACATCCCAGCCCTTTTTATCTTTTTATCTTGAGACAGGGTCGCATTAAGATTAGCCTTGAATTTGCAATCCTTCAGCCTCAGACGCCCAAATTGCTAAGATTACATATGTGCACCACCACACCCAGCAGACACATTTGTTTCTTAGAGGCAGCAGAAATTTATGTCGTTGGCCTCTTCACTTATGCTTTTTCAAATACATAACCACATAAATTTTGGAAGATTAAAAGTGAGTAAATTCTGATCTGACACTGAATCAGTGGTTAACTTCTGAGAAGTTACTTAAAAGTCTCAGATCTTAGATTTCGGCTAAATAGAACCATCTCTTCTCCATTTTGTGAGCTTTTACTTAAAACAAACAAACAAAAAAACAGTAAATTTGACAGTTTAAAAAAAAATTTAAATATTTCCTTTTTAAAATACAAGCAAAAACCTCTAGGATATCATTTAATAACTATCACTTAATTCAATACATTTTACATATGAACTATAAATTAACATACTAAAATGCAATACCAAAATCACATCAGCATGATCTACGCTCTTAAAGAGTCTTTGAAGGGCCCCAATAGCATTGTTTTAGGATACCATTTACATCTATTTGATCTAATATATGACCTACTGAAATAGAAACAGGAGAGCAGGCCTGTGACTAATTTGCTTTTGCCATATTGTGTTAGATTATGACTTATTCTTAAAGACGTTTACCTTTTAAGTATGACTCAGGGATATTACTTAGTCAGTCATTCAACAATTGTCAACAAACATACATATTTTAAGCCAGGAAGTCTTGCTAGATGCTAGGGATGTTAAATACAGTCTTAGCCAGGTAAGGTGGTAAACACCTATAATCCCAGAAACACAGGAGGCAGGAGGATGTCAAGTTCAAGGCCAGCCTCTGCAATTTAGTAAGACCTTGTATCAAAAATAAAATTGAAAGGATTGAGGATATAGCTTGGTGGTAGAGCACTATTGGGTTCAATCCCCAGCATGGGGTGGAGGCAGAGAGAACGCAGTCTTGACTGGAGTCCAAAGAGTAAATCAAGAGCTAGCTACAGGGTCATGAGTGCTCTGTCAGAGGCAAGTACTGTACAAGAAGCTGTGGTGGAGATTTAGCTAGGGCTTGAACTTTATCTGAAAGCCCAGGGGAATTTACTGAAAGATTTAAATGAGAAATATAACTTGGAGTCCAGGAAAATAGCTGTGAATAACTTACAGCACTTCAGAGAAGTCATAGTGGCCTCAACAGGAGTGAAGCAAAGATAAAAGGACAGCCTAGATGAGGTGGGAGTAGGGGACAGTGGAAAGAGAAGGAAGTTGGGGTCTTGGATTTAGAACTCTTTTAATTCAGAGACTGAATTCAAGAGTGGAGCTAGGTTCAGTGGCATACCTCTGTAATGCCAGCAACTCAAGAGGCTGAGACAGGAGGATTGAAAGTTCTGGGCCAGTCTCAGTAATTTAGTGAGACCCTGTCTTAAAACAAAGCTAAAAGGGCTGAGAATGCTGCTCAGTGTACAGTGCCCCTGGGTTCAATCCCCAGTATATTCTACAAAAATCAATCCATCAATCAGAAGAAAAATATCAGGTTAAGTGGAAAGATTAATTCAGTCTTCAAGTATTGACTTTGAGACTCCACATAAAAATTTCCATTAGGCAGCTGGATATAGAGGAACAAGAGAAGAGACAGAAACTTTTGGTGCTTACAAGTGAAGAAAAAAACTAATAACACTCATTAAATATTTGGGAAGTATAAAGGGCTTAAGTTTTATCATAGAACAACCACAGAATGAAGTACTGTATACTTCCAGACACTGGAGTAAGACCGGGGCAGAATGTGGGAGCAAGTAAACGATCAGATAGATACATACATTCTCACACTGAAAGATATCCAAGACATTGTTAGTTTCTTTTAAAATGCTAGTGTTCATCATAATGTAAAGCATTACTGCAGAGGGGGAAAGCAGTAAAGACCATGAAAAATTATAGCATTTAAAGAATAATGAATTTGTAAAAAAGGCAAATTCTGTGGCCCCCACTTCAGACCTAATAAGTGAGAAACCCTGGAGGTGGAACCTAGCAATCTGTGTTTTGAGAATCCTCCAGGTGATTCTGATACACACGCAAATTTCCGACCCACTGAATTAGACTTTAATGTATGGTGAAGAACTTAATAGAATCCCTTTGGTTGTAATACTTAACTATAAGAACAAAATGAAGTCGTGGAGCAGTGAAAAAAAAGGTGCTTTTAAAATCAACACCTCATGCCGTTATCATTAAAAGTGTAGATCATACGGTAACCACTTTGAACACACTATAACAATCCGTTTCACTTTTAGCAAGGCTTTGAACAGGTGAAGAATGGCGACATCCAGTTTTCCATATCCTGGGAGATGCCTCTACTTAAGTAATCACAAGCGCGCGCAAAAACAGAATAAATAAGTTGCCTCCTAAATATGTGTCACCTTCTGCCTATTTTTGATAACGTGCAGATATTTTCTCCTAGGACCACAGGCAGGGCCCCCACTCTGGAGCAGGAGGCCGGTCTCTTCCCTAGCAAAGCAGGCCAAGCGCTCATTCTCAAGGTGCAGTAAAAAGCTTGGGGCGGGATCTAGATACCTAGAGAGTATCTAGAAATGCTGTTTCTATATCCAGCTATCGGTATAAACTACGACTCACTGAAGAAGGCGAGCGTAAAACTCCTCAGCTCCTCGGCTCACTTGCGCCCACATTCTGCCCCGGTCTTACTCCCGACTCCGGAACCGCCAAACTGAACTGCGCGCCCGGACGCAGACGTCAGAAGCCGTAACCCCGCCCCGCCGGGACTACTTTTACTAGTTGGAAACCAACTCCTTTGTTCGTATAATTAAACTTTGTTTATAGAGCACCCAGTGAAATTTCTTGTTACAATAGTTTTCTATTCCCGTCAGAAAATTTTTTTTTAAATAAATGTAGTGGTTGCAGAGAAAGACTCCTCCTCTCGCGAGATTGGTCACGCCCTCTTAAGAATTATTCCGCTAAAAGGAGTCCCTCCTTTCTAAGCAAGTTTTCTAAGATTTGGAAACATAGATCCCATGCATTGATACATATAAAAAATAATACGCTGTTTTTTTAATTTACTTAGTATAGTAGAGAGATATTTTGTGCCTGAGTTTGTTCTGTGGAGGGGCAGTATGTGAACAAGCTGAAGGTTACATATAGAGTAAGGAGTTCTAAGTACTTCCTTTTCCTGTGGGAGCAGCTGGGGCGAGAGGAGCGTGGCCCTCTCCTGTCCCGGCAATGGTGAGTGGAAATCTTCTTACCTGGACTTTCGCCTGCCCGGAGCGAGAAGGGAGTGACGAGGGTTCAGAAAACAAAATATGCAGGGGAGGAATCGAGGACGAGAGTTCCAAAAGCGTCTGTTTTCGGGGAGAACTGGGTTGTATGGCAACCCGGCAGCCATCTTAGGCAACGTGGGCGGCTGGGCACTAGGGCGCGCCTGGAAGCTCCTCGGTCGTTCTCAACGAACTTTTGGATTCTAGCTGCTTTTGGATCCTGGAAAACTAGAGTTCTGTTGAGAATGGGAGCTCTGGGCGCCTGAGAAGGTGGGTGGTAAGGACAGGTTTGTGCCTTATATCTAAATGTGCTCTCTAGCTAGGTATATTTCCATCTTTTAAGGAACTTTGTTAAAGAGGGGAAAACTTGTATTAGATCCTTTTTCCTGAATGCCCAGTATTGAGATGATTTCTGTAAAAAGCTTTGAGACTCCGTTAAGATTCATTGCTGTATTTGACACCGTCTAATGTTTAAACTTTTAGCAAACTCACGGTATGACTAACGTTGGGTGTCCACTATGTTTCAAATACCATGCTTGTGTGCTATGTAATGTACTGGAGTTTGTGAACAAGACAGACAACACTATGCATGGATTGCAGTTGACTTGGACTGAAAACATAGTAATATTCAATTGTAAGTGCCTTTGACATAGGAAATTGGAGAGGATGTAATATCAACTTAAAACAGTGATTGGAGAAGGTGACCTCATAACTTAGTGGTCCAGCACTTGTGCAGGGCCCAGTGCTGAACCCCCAAACTGGAAAGAACAAAAGGTGGGCCAATATCTGGAAGAGAGGAGATTGTATAAGCCATCCTTAAGACGCTACTACTTCCAGTGAAAAGTTTTTAGGAAAGATGAAGGAAAAGTAACCTGACAAGTTTTTACTAGCAAGCTTTGGAAGAGGTAAGGGGGAGCAGCAGAAATGAAAGGTTGGATGAGTGAGTTCAGAAAGTTTAGGTGGTGAAATTAAACTGCATTTTCAACCCTTGAAAATTGTGGAGCTTGGGACAGGCCTAAGAACTTATTGAAGTGTTAATAATTTGATATTGTTTGAGGCTTTATATGGTATTTAAGCCTTAAGCAATGTCTGCCTCACAAAACTGAGCTCTTATATAACTGATAGTTTGCTGTTGGCATATGAGAAGAGTTCACCTCTAATGTTGCTTGTCAATTTTTTTTCCCCCAAGGCGTGTGCTCGACCCCTGATATCTGTGTACTCTGAAAAGGGGGAGTCATCTGGCAAAAATGTCACTTTGCCTGCTGTGTTCAAGGCCCCAATTCGACCAGATATTGTGAACTTTGTTCATACCAACTTGCGTAAAAACAACAGACAGCCCTATGCTGTCAGTGAATTGGCAGGTATGGATTCATGTTTTCTCTGGGTTGGTATTTTAAGGTTGCTTTACAGTAGTGATGAAATTCTACTTCATTGGTCCGTGTTTCTGAACCACATGATTTTCTTGGATATTCTGATGCTGTTTGTTGCCATGCACAAGTCAAATAGATTGGTTATGTCTAGGTAGCTAAAATTGAATTTCTTCCCGTTTAGGTCATCAAACCAGTGCTGAGTCTTGGGGTACTGGTAGAGCTGTGGCTCGAATCCCCAGAGTTCGAGGTGGTGGGACTCACCGTTCTGGCCAGGGTGCCTTTGGAAATGTATCCTTTTACTACCTACACTGGTCAGTTTGTGGAATCTAGCAGACTGTGCCCGGTTTATACACATTAAATGTATTTTGAACTCTTTATGTCTAAAATATTAAGTGTTCAAGTTATCCGTTGCTTGAGACACATGTGAAATTAAAATTATTCTTCTAGAGAAAAGGCTTCACACAGGGAGGTTTCTCTTGCAATGATGTCGTAATTTGCGTCTTACTCTGTTCTCAGCGACAGTTGCCTGCTGTCAGTAAGCTGTTACAGAAGGTTGACGAAAATTGTTACTGAGCAAGACATAACCATTTCCTAATGAGTAATTTTAAGAAGTGTTATTTTTTAGTTGTAGTTGGACACAATATCTTTATTTTATTTATGTGGTGCTGAGGATCAAACCCAGGGCCTCACACATCCTAGGCGAGTGCTCTATCGCTGAGCCACAACCCAGCCCCAAGAAGTGTTAATTCTTAACTAAGGAAATAGATGTGTAGAGGAGGCCGCATGTTCGCACCAACCAAAACATGGCGTCGTTGGCACCGGAGAGTGAACACAACCCAAAAGCGATATGCCATCTGCTCTGCCTTGGCTGCCTCAGCCTTACCAGCACTGGTCATGTCTAAAGGTTTGTAATATTTTGTTATAATTTGCCTGTGTTCATCCTAGAGTGTCTAAATTTCCCTTTATTAAGAATAGGTTTTGAATACTTCTAAATAACAAGTTGGTGATCTAACAATAGCTATGTAACTGGAAATTCTTCAAATAGTAATTATATAATTAGAAAGCTTTTCATGTTACATTATCTCCCTCGTGCACATTTTTACTTGTCAAAATGATGAGATTCCACTTGATTGGTCCGTGTTTCTGAAACAAATGATATTTGTGGAAATTCTGATTTGGCAAATTGTGTACCATATTGCTTTTGTAAGTTATATAAAATCTTTTTCAAAGAATTCAGGTAACCAGATAAGTATTGAATTGGTTTTGTCAGGTCATCGAATTGAGGAAGTTCCTGAACTCCCTTTGGTGGTGGAAGATAAAGTTGAAGGTTACAAGAAGACCAAGGAGGCTGTTTTGCTTCTTAAGAAGCTTAAAGCCTGGAATGATATCAAAAAGGTAGGCTTAGCTGGGTGCCATGGCGCCTGCCTGTAACCCCAGCAGCTAGGGAGGCTGAGACAAGGAGAATCACAAGTTCAAAGGGCCAACCTCAGGGATTTATCAATGCCCTGTCTCTAAAAAAATACATTTAAAAAGGACTGGGGGTGTGGCTCAGTTAAGTTCCCGTGGGTTCAATCCCCAGTACCAAAAAAAAAAAGGTAGGCTTAATGTGCATATTTACAGTTTGGTGGGTTTTGTTTGTAAGTTGTACATGGACACAATACCTTCATCTTATTCATTTATTTCTATGTGGTTCTAAGGATTGAACCCAGTGCCTCACCACATGTAAGGCATGTACTCTACTACTGAGCTCGAACCATAAGTCCTAGTTTGGTGGTTCTTGATGTATAGAAATTTGTCAGATCTTGATTTTCTTTTTTTTTTTTTTAAGCATATAGTATCATTCTTTCTGCCAAATTATTATTTCAAAAATATGAGTAATGTAAGTAAATTAATAAGTGTCTACCTTTTCATAGTAAGAAGATTCATCGCAGAGTCCTGAAGAAGAATCCATTGAAAAACAATAAACAATACCTTTATTTTGTTTATTTTTATGTGGTGCTGAGGATAGAACCCAGGGCCTTGCACATGCTAGACCAGCGCTCTACGGCTGAGCCACAACCCCAGCCCCAGATTCTTGATTTTCAAGAGGAAAACTGGGAAAGATAGGACAGTCAACCCTTAGTATCCATTGGGAATTGATTGCAGGACCATCCTTGTCTCCATAATAAGATCCATTAATGCCCAGGCTCACAAAGTGAGGTACTATAGTATTTCCATATAACCCATACACATCATCTTAAAAAATTATTTTTACCTAATATAATGTAGATGCTACATAAATAGTTCTGCATTATATTATCTAGGGAATAATTACTAGGAAAGACGTATACACAGTATAGATGCAATACTTTGTCAGAATGGTGTCTGAGGAAGCAAGTACTTAACTGTGAAGATCCAGGACAGATCTACACCTTAATAATTAGTACTTCATTTACCTTAATACTGAAATTGCTCATTTTGTAGGTCTATGCTTCTCAACGAATGAGAGCTGGCAAAGGCAAAATGAGAAACCGTCGTCGTATCCAGCGCAGGGGCCCCTGTATCATCTATAATGAAGACAATGGTATCATCAAGGCCTTCAGAAACATTCCTGGTAATCCTTACAGTGTTTTTGTTTTGATTACCCACACTTTGCATCCTTGTTCAGCTTTGATTATGATGAAATTCCACTTTATGGTCCGTGTTTCTGAAATAAATGATTTTGTGGAAATTCTGATTCTTAGCTGAATGAATTGTACTATCGATGGTTGAAACTTTGTAAAATTGAGAAGATAGTTCTCGGGTTCCTGGTGAAGCCATAAAGATTGTTTATATTATGTTGAAAATGCCTTTCTAATTCTCCTTTCCCTTTAAAAGGAATTACTCTACTTAATGTAAGCAAACTGAACATTTTGAAACTTGCTCCTGGTGGGCATGTGGGGCGTTTCTGCATTTGGACTGAAAGTGCTTTTCGGAAGTTAGATGAACTATATGGCACTTGGCGTAAGGCTGCTTCCCTCAAGAGTAACTATAAGTGAGTGCTTTTTTATATTTAAATACTGAACGTAGATTTAAACTGAAGATGAACTTCAGCACCTTTATTTTTAACCATTTATCTCTATGCACATTAGCATTCAGAATTGGTTAGCATAGTTTTCATGGGTTTTTAATATTTATTTTTTAGTTGGACACAATATATTTATTTATTTTTATGTGATACTGAGGATTAAACCCAGCTCCTCGCATATGCTAGGCAAGCGCTCTACTGCTGAGCCACAACCCCAGCCCCTCATGGGATTTCTTTTTTGGTTTTGTTTTGGTAGTATTAGTGTTTGAACCTCGGAGCACTCATCACTAAGTTAAATCACCCCTTTTTTTCATTGTGAGACAGGATCTTTCTAAGCTGCACAGGCTGGTTTCAAACTGCTGCAGCCTTGAATTAAAGGCATGTGTCACCACACCTAGCTGCATACTTTATATAAATAATGGGTTTTATTTGGCTGACATTTCCCTTTATGTGCAAACAGTATGCTGGAATGGTAAATACTTCTTTGGCCAGTGCTTCTGAAGATAGTTTAGTGGAAATTTTTACTGAGTTCTGGAGAGAGAAATGGTTAAAAATAGAGATGTTGTTGGGCTGGGGTTGTAGCTCAGTGGTGGAACACTTGGCCTAGCATGTGTGAGGCCCTGGGTTTGAGTCTCTGCACCACATATAAATAAATAAAAGTAAAGGTCCATTGAGGACTAAAAAACTATTTTTTTTAAATAAAAGAATTGCCATTTAAAAAAATAATAAAATAAAGGTGTTGAAGTTTATCATCCTTAGTCGGTTACTTGAGAATTTAGGTATCCATTGTTAATCATTTTCCTTCAGCCTCCCTATGCACAAGATGATCAATACAGACTTGAGCAGAATCTTGAAGAGCCCAGAAATTCAAAGAGCTCTCAGGGCACCACGGTAAAGTTCTGATGTTTATAGTATCATTCTTTCTGCCAAATTATTATTTCAAAAATATGAGTAATGTAAGTAAATTAATAAGTGTCTACCTTTTCATAGTAAGAAGATTCATCGCAGAGTCCTGAAGAAGAATCCATTGAAAAACCTGAGAATCATGTTGAAGCTAAACCCATATGCAAAGACTATGCGCCGGAATACTATTCTTCGCCAGGCCAAGAATGTAAGTGATCCGTTTGTTTTTACTAATAATGTGGAGTTTTTTTAAAAAAACTTAGATTTTTTTACTTAATTTATTGCAGCACAAACTCCGGGTGGATAAAGCAGCCGCAGCTGCAGCCGCAGCTAAATCAGATAAGAAAGATCAGAAGGGGGCTGCAGGCAAGAAGCCTGTGGTGAAGAAGCAGGGAAAGAAGGCTGTTGGTGTTAAGCAGAAGAAGCCTGTGGGGAAGAAGGCTGCACCTTCCAAGAAACCAACAGCTGAAAAGAAACCAGCAGAGAAGAAACCTGCTGCAGAAGAGAAAAAGTCTGCTGCATAAACTCTAAAATCTGTTTTATTCCATAAGTTTAAATAATTTTGGACAGTTTATTTTGAATAAAGAGCTGATCAAAGATGCAGTGACAAACATGTTTTGTTGGGTCTGTTTAGTAAAACTTCACTGGTCTTAAGAAAAAAATTTTTTAGTTGTAAGTGGACACAGTATCTTATTTCATTTTTATGTGGTGCTGAGAATGCAACCCAGTGCTTTATGCCTGTACAACTGAGTCATAACCCCAACCTTCACTGAGTGGTCTTTGAAAAGTAGCACTTTGTTATTCCTAATTCTAGTCTTTAATCTGGCCCCTATTATAGTCTGGTATAATGGAGATTTGGATTTACATTTAGACCATGCATTTGAGTGGAATAGTAATTTCTAAGAGCTTGATGTGGCATTCCATTTTATAAATCACTAGAAAAGCAGATGTTAGAAATGTGCCTCACACACAACCTTATGAGGTCATGGTTGCCTGTAATCCCAGCAGCTCAGGAGGCTGAGGCAGCCTCTACAACCTAGACCATCTCCAAGTTTAAAAGAGGGGGGGAGGGCTGGGGACGTGGCTTGGTGGGTAAGCACTCCTTAGTTAAGTCCCTTGTACCCCCCAAGAAAAGTATTTGCTTCCCAAAAAGGGCTGGATGTGAGTTAAATTCCATAGAAATTTAACATTTTGAGCAACCACAAGAGGGCACAGTTGTTTTAATACAATGTTGGAAGTAACCAGTGAATTTGGTTACCTCTGGAAAGTGCTTCTGTTAGCTTACAATGATGGAAGTCTGTTGGCACTTGTCACCCATAATTTAAAAAGATTCTAGAGGGTTTTGTTTTTTTTTTTGGAACCATGTGCATGTATTAGTGCATAGATGTGTTAACCAAACATAGATAAACAAGGTCGTTTTGTATCTGGATGGTTGGCGAAGGTTCACAGCCACTTAGATCTGGTTCCTGGGCCAACTGTTAGTTCTTGGTAGACAAAATGGTGTATATCATTGCATTTTGTCCTCACAGCTTCATCTTCATGCTCTTTAGCTCCTTAAGTAGCAGTCTGTCCCCTGTAGAGTCCACTAGGAATTATCAATATGGTTCAAGTACCACAGCTTGTAGTACAAACGGGTGATTTTGATCCCTTCCTTGGTACTCAACTGGAAGCTTGTGGAGTCAAACAGCTGCTTGGGCCAGGGGTTGTAGTCGCCTCGCCTGCACGAAGCCCTGGGCTCTACCCAGGACAGCGGGAGGGTGGGGGTGGGGGTTGAAGCACCACGATGGAAGTGTGCTGCAGCCAGTACTGCTCTCCTGAATTATTATAGTTTGGCCACTTAGTGTGAGGAAATGCACTACCGGGGTTGAAAAACCTGCCCAAACTCAAGACTTATTTTCAGGTTCTTTTGTCCTATGCTTTAGAAATCTTGATCATTATTCATGCGTCCAAATGTCTCCTAGAAGGCCAAGCCCTTCACGTAGCTCACCACCCATTGAGTAACCGGGCGACTGCACGCGCCAGAAGAAGGAGACAAGCTATGCGCTTCCGATTTGTCTTCAAGTCCCGCCCCCTATGTTTCCGGGAATTGGCAATGGCGTCATCACCGAGCGCCAGGCTGACAGAGCGTGGAACTTGGCGTTGTGACGAGCGGAGATGCTGAGCCGGCTTCAGGAGCTGCGCAAAGAGGAGGAGACGTTGCTGCGACTGAAGGCGGCCCTGCACGACCAGCTGAACCGCCTCAAGGTGACCCCACCGCCCCACCATTTCGCCTGCGTGACATCTCCCCGAGCTCAGCCCTTTGAGGAGCCTGCCTCTGCCGTCGATTGTCCTGGTCCTCATCCGTCCGTCGTGGCGCGGACCTAGCAGGTTACAAACTCGTGTAGCTGAAACACCTGGCAAGCGAGCTTTCGAATATTAGGCCCCACATCTCTAAATCTTGACCCTGCTGGTCTCGACTGAGACTCAAGAATCCGTTTGGCAATGTAGCCCCCCAACCCCATCTCTGCCCTCGCCCCGCGTCAGTGCTGATGGCCCACACGTCACACGCTGAGGACGTGTCCTCTTCTCCAAAGCTCACTTAGTCTTCCTATCCATCCATCTCTTCCTGAACCCTCTCCTGAGCCAGTTTACTAGTTTGTACTGATTGTTGAAATGGCTTTAGTATTGCAAACCAAGAATAGACCTTTGAGATATCCCATGGTGTGAAAGATATTAAGCCCTAGGAGAGGGACTGGTCCCAAAGCTCAGAATTCCCAGTAGTTCTTGGAGCTGTTTATGACTCCATGAATTTGAAGGTTGGTGATTCATGCCTGTTTACGTCACTTTCCAGACCTGTGGATAATTCAGCCCTTGTGAGATGATCATGCTAATCCCTATTCAACTGTCTTATTTAGGTCTTGAAGTCTAAATGACATGAGAATTAAAAAACCCTTTATAAACTGAAAAGCGTTTTACAATTTTGACTTAGCAAAACAATAAGCATTTTCCTCCAGGGTAATTATAATGACCCACAGTTATGTCTATACTGCAACAGTACCCCTACAAGTACCTAGTGATAGTGTGGATGATGGTCCCCAAAACCCAGATTCCCTCATGGTTCAAGAAACACTTCGATTTTCTTTTCCCCCTATCTTTGCTTTCTCATTACTGAGTAGACAAGCTCAGGTGTGAAGACTCCGCCTTCTGTGGAGTCGGGTGTTACCTGGTCTTTTGTGTGTGTGTGTGTGGGGGGGGTGTACTGGAGATTGAACTCTACCACTGAACTACACTCTCAGCCCTTTTCATTTTTTATTTTGAGACAGGGTCTTGATAAATTGCACAGGCTGACTTCTACATCTGATTCAATGATACACTTGTGTTTTCTTCCATAACTGCTAGTTCTTGGTGAATGAAAACCATAATTGAGCCAGAACACTTGTACTGCCCACTGTGCAATGTATGCCTATAATCCCAGTGTTATTGGCAACCAGGCCAGGGAACCTGTCTGGATCCCAGCTAGCTGGATTCAGCTGCCTATGCACATAAGAAAAAGGTAAACAGTGGCTAAGGTTTGATCAAATTGTATAAAGTTCATTTTTTCTTTTTCCATTGTTTGCCTATTTTTTAATGCAGGTGGGAGGCTAGATATAACCAGTCAGAATCCAGGTAGGTTCCTTGGCTGTGCTGCCAATAACACCAGTAACTTGGAACACAGGAGGATCAAAAGCTCAAGGCTGGACAACTTTGATATCGTGTCTCAAAAAAGGGTGGTGGTGAGGAGGAATGGAGGCTGGGGATGTAGCTCAGTGGTAGAGTGCTTGGCTAGAATGTGGGAAGCTCTGGGTTCAATCCCTAGACACACATACACACATACACACACACGACACACATACACATATGCACAAAACCCACCTGTACAGTCCAAAGGGAAGAAGGTGGAATTTATTCCTCTCTTTAAAAGGCAGGGAAAACAGCTGTTCATGATGCTGAGGCAGGATCACAAGTTAAAGGCCAGCTTGAGCAAATGGGTAAGAACCTGTCTCTGAATTTAAAGTGTTGAGGATGTTGGGTGAATAATAGAGTGCCTACCTTGCTCGGTGCTCTGGGATCAATCCCCAGTACTGCAAAAATAAAAGGCATGAAAAGCCTGGGGTTGATCAGTAGTAGATCACTTGCCTTGCATGCATGAGGCACTGGGTTCGATCCTCAGCACCACATAAAAATAAATAAAGATATGTGTCCATCTACAACTAAAAAAAAATGGTAATGAAATATCCTCAACTCTTCTCTTCTAGGTTGAAGAATTGGCCCTCCAATCAATAATCAGTTCTAGAAAAGGGGATGAGATGCTGTCTTCTCAGCCTGGTATACCAGAACAGTCACATGATGTAAGTAAAATTAAGTACATGCACCCACACCTGTAATCGCAGCAGCTCGGTAGGCTGAGGCAGGAGAATGGCAAGTCCAAAGCCAGCCTCAGAAAAAGCAAGGTATTAAACAACTCAGTGAGACCCTGTCTCTAAATAAAATTCAAAATAGGACTGGGGATGTGGCTCAGTGGTCAAGTGCCCTGACTTCAATCCCCAGTACCTCCCCCACCTCACAAAAATAAATTAAGTACAGGCAGAGAGAGTGCAGAGTTCACTATGCTCCCCTGCTGCTTGGGTGGCCAAAAATTATAAAGCATGTTGTCAAGCCCAAAGGACTTGAAGTGCTGCTGTTTTTTTTTTTTTTTTTTTCTTTTTCTTTTTTTTTTGGTGCTGGTTCTGGAGATCAAACCGAGGGCCTTGTACATGCTAGGCAAGCACTCTGCCACTAAGCTGTATCTCCAGCCTTGGATCAGTTTCTAGTTTAAGAAGCTGGCTATTCTACATTAGTTGGCTACACTTTTGACCAATTTAGGGAGCCTACTCTCTCCTGGTCACCTGTTTGTTCTCTCTAGTTACTCGGATGAACCCTGGGGAAGTATGTAGATCTCTGTAAGGATGTGTCAAAAACAGAATGTGGCTTCAACTACAAACTGTAATACTGAAAAATGAATTTCAATCCTCATCCTACCCTCCTCTTACCACATGCCTTCAAGGAAGTCAATAAAATCATACTCTTTCTAAATACATCCAATATGAGCAATTCTGGATGTTGTAGTTATGTCTGCACAATTCTTAAGTTAGAACTTTCTCCCAGAACCATGTTTGTAAATGAGGTAACATTCTAGTAAATCTGGGACATTTTACTCTTACCCCATTTTGGTAACAGAAGTGAGGTAGAACTTAGAAGAACAGAATATAGCAAAGTGGCTTACCTCTTAGTCATAAATGCTAGGGGTGAATATACAATTGAGATTTGATTTTGAAACATTTTAAGAATTTGCTGTTTTGCTGCCAGTATCCTTTCTACTAATCTTTGATGTCCTTGGCTAACAGATGTTGATGCATGTAGATAATGAAGCATCGATCAATCAAACTGCACTAGAATTGAGCACAAAGAGCCATGTGATGGAAGAAGAGGAAGAGGAAGAAGAAGAATCAGATTCCTAAAGGAGGATGAGACCCAGGATTTGTTCTAAAAATTATATTTCTAAGCCTCAGACACTTCTTCAGAGAAGTCCTATGGCCTACTTGAAAGGAAAGCAAGAATCATAGGAGGAATGTGTCATTGTACAAGTGGCTTCATCAGTAATAACTCAAGTTCCAGAATGTTTTAGGAAAAGTAAAACATAGTAACAAAATCAAAGATATAATGTCTTAAAGTTGAGCAGTTTGGATGGTGCAGTGTTATGACAGGATTAGATTTAGTAATTATGTTCAAAACAAAATTTCCTCTGAAATCCTACTTGAGAAAGTCTGGAATTTGCAAAAGGCAGAGTTTAAACACAAATTAGGCTTTCCAGTCAACAGGTCTTTCAGGAAACCCAGTTAAGAGCTGTTTATGTGCGATTGAACCCTTATGAACAGTTAGGTCACAGTCTAGGAGAGAAAGCTAACAAGACGAAGGACGGGGCACTTGAGAGCACAAGCTGCTGCCAAGTTTCAGAGACATGGAAACACTGCCCACCTTAGACTCCTTTGTGTGGCTGTTACCACATCTAGCTTGAAACATCATTGATAAAAGATTCAGAATTAATTATAAATAACCATCATAGAGCTTGCTGGTTTCCAGATTCAGAAGGAGAAAGCAGCATTTCCTCCTCTGAGGGAAATGGCAAGATGGCATAAAATAAGATCCATTTCTGGCCCTTAAAGAAGAAATGTGTCATTAAAGAAGATATTACTATGCTTGGGAGATTGGACTTTTATAATAAAAGAGATGACAACTGTAGAATAAGAGTTGTTGAACTTTGTATTTGAAATTGAGATTTAATTCTGCATATTGTCCCTTTTCTACTGAATAGTCACTTAATTCTATAATTTCCTCTCCAGCTAACAGCCAATGCAAACTAAGAATGTCTTCACACAGAACTTATGTAGCTGTTCCAGAAAAGAAGAGGAATATACTTTTTTGTTGTTAATGTTTCATTGAGGTTATTTTAAGCTACTCTTATAGGAAAGAGCAGGAAGTTTAAGTGATATGTTCCTTAAAACACAGTGAAGACAGTTTTGGAACAAAATTTATCAAGGTATACATTTTTGGGGTCTGATTTAAAACGAACAGGGTTTTTCAAGAGCTGGAAAAGTTCGCTGTGTATTCTAGCTCTACTGCTGACTGGTAACTGGTTGCTTGTTTTCACACCTCTTCGCAACTCTACTTTTACATCTGTAATGTGAGGATATTCACATCTGCTCTAGCAGTTTCACAGGTTGTTAAGATGCCAACGAGGTATCATCTAAAAACCCAACTGTTACTGGTGTCTCAGTAAAAGGAAGTTCGAGGCAAGAATCTGACTAAGAACTCAAAGCACTGACACTGGGAACATCATTCTTGAAAACAAGATCATTCTTGGTAAAAAAAAATTACTGGAAAAAAATCTTTTGACACTAAAAATGAAATACATTTAACTGTGGATAGAGAATTAAAGCACCCCTCAAAAGAAACCACTCATGAAAGCATTTACATCTGGGTTTTATTTTTTTGATACTGAGGATGAAGCCCAGGGGGACTACCACTGAGCTACAACCCCAGCCCTTTTTTTAATTCTGAAACAAGGTTTTTCCAAGTTGTCCAGACTGGCCTTGAACTTTTGGGTCTCCTGCTTCAGCCTCCAAAGTAGCTGGGGTTACAGGTATATGCCACTGCACCTAAATCCAGGTTTTAGAAAAACCTTAAGCTATTCTTTTCTCACAAAGGATGTAGTTCGTTCATTTTAATGAGACATTCTCAATAGCCAGGCATCCTCTCCTTGTTGGCAAGACACAGGGAGTAGGTTTTAAAACTCAACTTAAGTGTTTATATGTTGAAAACATGTAAGTTAGACTGTTCTTAGAACAGCTGTTGGCCTCGTGAAAAAAAAATTTTTTTTTTTGACTATCGTAGGCAGCAGTGTACACAACACTGACCATTTTTTAAAATCCTGGCTATAACCCAAGCTCTGGTAGCTCCAGAGTGGAACTATCTACTTTGGGTATTACTTACCAAGTTCTCTTTAATCTAAAAATGAAATAGCCTTTTTATTTTTAGACATATACATTGGATTTGGTTTTCTATAATCTGCCCTTTCAAAGAATACAAGATTTGACGTACTGATCAGGAAGCTTCATGCGTTAAAGTTCCACATAATTAAGGAGAGGGCACCAATGACCAAAGGGGAGACATGCTTTTTTCTGTGTTTTTAATTTTTTGTACCAGGGATTAAACTCAGGGGTGCTTAACCACTGAGTTACATCCCCAGCCCTTTTTATTTTTTGAGACAGGGTCTCACTAAAGTTGTTTAGGGCCTCTCTTAGTTGCTGAAACTGGCCTCGAACTTGCAGGCTCCTGAGCTGTTGGGATTACAGGTGTGCACCATCACACCTGGCTCATGGCTTTAATTACACTGCCCACCTTAGACTACTTTGTGTGGCTGTTACCACATCTAATTACTGTGATTTCACTGCCACCTCACAGACATGACAAAGCTGGCATCAGGCACATTTCTCCCTTCCAGGAAGGTGGCGTTAAGTGTAAGTGGTGCAAGAAGATAATCCATTGCTCATTGTAACAAAGCAGACTGACTGGCTGTGCCTGGCTAGAGACTCCAAAGCCTGCAGGGCCCTCGGGTGAGCAGGTATACCCCCAGCTCAGCTCTTTGTTAATGGAAAATGGGGAATGTTCACTGAGAAATGGCTTGTGATTTTTCTCAGACTTGTTCCCAAACCCTACCTGCTGCTTTTTCCTATGTAGAGAGAAGAGGAAAAGAAGGGATCCGTCCATAAGTCTAAAGTCAAGTGGTTGAAAGTCACAGGTAAGGTGATGTAGCAGAAGAATTAGTACAAAGATTGAAATCACAGGAAGACCCATTAGTCCAATGTCCTGAATTTGTTGTTGGTGTGATATTTCTGCCTTTTAGCCTCCTTCCTACTTTCCCCACTCCCCACAACAATGCTTGACTAAATCATTTGATTTCTTATACATTAGAGAAATTGCAAAGCCTACCACAAAAGTAGAAATACCTTTCATCCTTTAACTTGATAGTATATTTATTAGAATAAGAGACTAGATTTGTTAAACATCTGGATTAAAATGATTAAAAGGATTTTCATACTTTTTTTTAGGCACTATACACGTTGTTTACAATAGCATTGGTACTTAGATTGGGGGAAGATAGAAATCTGACATATTTTAATGCCTTGATTCATTTGTGACATTCAGAGTAACTCCACCATTTTAGAAACACTAATCTAAACTTAAAGATACATATACCATTTACTACCTCACACAGTATATTTAAAAATAAATATAGAAATACAACCAGAAGTCTACAAATCAGACTGGTGAAGCCCCAGCTATCATGGCAGTGAATGGCTCTGGCTAGATTTTGATGGAAACTGCTGAATTCTACGTCAAAAGCAAAAGATGGTAATAAAATAATATGATGTACACTTTCTGGTACTCATTTTCACAGCAGCAAAGCATGCTTCACATGCACTGCCTGTGAAGGGACTTATGAGGCTCCCTCGCACTCACACTGAGAGAAGGTCCACTTGGCAGAAATGAAGGACCACCAAGTGTCAAGAATCCTGGAGATACAGGCGGCCAGCCAGTCACGGAGCAGGAACAGCAGTGCAAATGTCAGTAAGAATGACTACCCACGGTCACCAAAGAGTCACTGTATTTCAGCTTGGCATGTGTTTTGATCAACATACACACAGACAGCCCCAAGCACAAAGCCAATCCACTTAGGGAAATAACAGTAGTAATAATAAAGACAGTAATATTAAAAATGACGACGAGTACAGTTTTGGCACATGCTGTGTTCTTCATCCTTTGTCATAAGTCAAATGCACATCTGAACAGAGACAAGCATGGGAGAGGCCCAAAAGCAACATGGCACACCACTGGGCAGAGGACTCGCTCTTTGCTGCTTCCCAAAGGATTAGACGCCAGCTGCATGGGTTGGTGTGCTGGGCTGGTTAAGGCCTATGGTGGAGCAGAGCCAACCTGCAAAATCCACTTCCTCGGCATCAGATCTCTTGATAAAAGCATGAACCTGCAAGCAAGGAAACAGGGAGAGGTGTTTTAAAAAACCACCAATGGAAGGAAAATCCAAGAGTCACGTCTAGCACTTGTGCCACACTTGGAGGGAGCTCCTGGCCTGCCCTTGAGCAGCAGTAGGGCCAGCTGCAGGCCCAAAGACGGCAAAGACCTGCTCCACCTGCCTCTGCCAATTATACCAATCAAGAGGCCCTGGGAAAGTCACTCACCTCCCTAGCTGCTCTTGCAGAATGAAACGGGAATAGTGACCTTCCCTTCAAGACCTCACAGACTTGTTGGGAAAGACAAAGTCACTGGTGGAGGTGAGAGCATGTGACACTGCAAGCCACAAAAGCTATGAGGTCAAGGTGTTTCACTCTCCCTGCTGCCAAGCAAGAGGAGGCAGGTGCAGAGGTTAACATAAAATAAGTCAGCAAGAGAAAAAGGCCCAGCCCCACGAAGGCCACAGACTGGCCCCTTCTTTCCCTCGACTGCCTCAAGCCTTTCTTCCAATATCCCAGCTGTGAGGTGATTTCAGCCTTTTCTTTAAACTGATGGGAGGACAGAGGAGACTGGTGTTTGAGTCCCGCAGCCTCAGGCTCTCAGCTGCGCCACGGTGGTCAGGGCAGAAGCAGGGAATGGAAAGTAAATAAGTGCCGGAAAGATGACAGGAGACCAAATTAATAAACAGGTGCTGTAAGAATCTGAAATAAATGGACTTACCATGAGTTGCTTCAAATCTGCTCTCTCTGCGGGGTTTTTTATTAAGCTGAAAGGAAAAAAGTAATGTGAAAGCTTCTGCCTGGCGCTGGTTCTGATTCAGATTGCTTCTGTTTGCATGCCTTTCCCCCTACGCACTATAGGCTCTGAGGAGGAGTGCCAGAGCCTTATTCATCTTCCTGTTCTTGGTACAATATCATGCCCACAATACGTTAATGACTTCTTGCTGAATTAAATGAAGGTCAAAAAGCAACATGCTGGGGAGGGGCTGGGGTTGTGGCTCAGTGGTAGAGCACTGGGTTTGATCCTCAGCACCACACAAAAATAACTAAATAAAGGTACTGTGTCCATCTACAAAAAAAGAGCAACATGCCAATCCATGTAGAGCAAGTGCTGGAAGCAGTCACACCACTAAGCCCTGGCCCTCCACGAGAAAGGCTATGGCAGCAGCCAGGGGGTACTCAAGAGGGGAAAGGGCAAAGCTGGAGGGCTCAGAAATGGGGTGGGAAGTCTGACAAATTCAGGTATCCTTTCAAAAAACAATGAGCAAACTCACCATTTATTCACAAAATCTTGAAATTCCAGACTGAATACTCCACTGGGCAGTTTTGGAGGCGGCTGCAGACACATGTCAAGACATGAGAAATATTAGACCCTGCTCCAGCCATCTCTTCCCATCCCATCCCTACCTCTGGGCAGTGCTGTGCTCCAGTCAAAAACAAAGCCTGCTGGGTCACCCTGTTGGACCCAATGGTCTCACACAGCACAGTTAAAATTGGGACCACATTATATTTTACTATTCATTCATCTGGTGAAAGAAAAAAAATCAGTGAACCTCTGTGGCCTCAGTCTTTTCTTAATGAAATGAGGAGGTTGTGCCTACTAATCTCTGGAACCCTTTGAACTCTTGACATGTGGCATGGAAACATCACCAGTAATTCTAACAGCAGCAGCTAGGGGGGTGTGCAAACTACCAGGCATGGATCAGGCCT